TGACGAAAATTGTTTTGAGGGAAATGTTTCATTCGAAACTTTCGATGAAATTTAGATTCTCTAAAGAATTTTGACAGAATATATTTTCTGTCGAAAAATTTTATCGAAAATTTTTTTGTTAAATTTTTTTTACAAAAATGTGTTCTGTTGAAAATTTTGATGAAAAAATCTTTTTTTATCAAAAAACTTGACGAAAATATTTATTTGAAAATTTTTGATAGAAATGTGTTTCGCTAAAAATTTCGACGATTTTTTTTTTTGGTCAAAAAATTTAACAAAAATGTTTCCGTTGAAAACTTTCGCCGAAATTTGAATTTTGTAAAGATTTTTGATGAAATTTTTTTCTGTCAAAAAATTTCGATGGAAATGTGTTTCGTCGAAATTTTTGATGAATATTTTTTTTGTGAAATATTTTGACGAAATTTAGATTCCGTAAAATAATTTAACAAAAAACAATTTCCGTCAAATTTTTTTACATAAATATTTTAGTCACAAATTTTGATTAAAATACTTTTCATCAAAAAAATTTGCAAAATTTTTTGATAGTAATATTTTTCGTAAAAAAATTTGACGTAATTGTTTTACGTTAAAACTTTTCTTTTAACGTAATTGTGATTTTCTTTTTCTTTTTCTTTTTTTTTCATGTAATGAGTCTGGGTCAAGTTTTGGGTCAATGGGTCATTATTAAAACAAGTCAGGTCAAAAACTAACCCAAATAAAAGTGGGTCAATATTTAAACCAGTTCAAAAAAAATAGGTATTTATGGGTCAGGTCAAGGTCAGGTCAAAGTCAGATCAAGGACAAGGCAAGTGAACCAGTTTTTTTGCACACCCCTACGGCTCCATATATATAAAAAATGACTTAGCAATACATGTATTTCTTCTCTAGTTTGTTAGGATAGATTTTATTTGGAAAAAAAATGTGTCATTTTAAATGACATATCTTACATTCTTTCACTTTCATAAAGAGGTGAGATCCACATATTTAAAACTTTTATCCCCACTCTCTCTCCCGTGATTATCTCTTTCTCTCACCTAAAATGATATAACTTTGTATCTTTTAAAATGATACACATTTTTTCTATTTAATTTTGTTTTAAATTTTTGAACTCCATATATATTTAGAGAAATATTTTTCTCATTTCATTGGAGATAATTATCTCATTTTATACACTCATCGAATTTTGTGCCATTTTTTTTTCCATTTCTTTTTCCTTTTGTTTTCAAGTGTGCATCCCACATATTTATTTCACACACATGAAATAACTATCTCAAACAACATGAGATTAGTAACTCCCATATATTTAATGTCTATTAGAAGTTCGTTTTTTTATTTTTTTTCTTATGAAAAACATGACGTAACTCTTCGATAGATGCTTGATTCATTCATGTTAAATCTTTTACGCATTGTATTTAATATTCAACTATATATAAAGGTGAATCAACGATAATAAAAGAATAAAAAAATATTGAGATAGAAAATTACAAAATTATAAATATTAATTTCTTGATTAATGATTGAGATTTTCTCATATTACATAATATTAAATAATTCCCACTTTATTAAGAATTCTCCGTTACATTTCGTGACCTTATAATAGGCTAAACGATTGACCTTTGCCCATTTTGCTTTGGGTTTTATAATTCTCATGTTGAAGGAGAATTGAAATCTCATGTTGTAGAGATAAAAAGCATGTGGGACCCATATGTAAGAAAAAATTATATGTAGAACCCATGTCAGCACAGAAATCGAAGGGTGTGTAGGAAAATTATAATTCTCATGTTAAATGAGAATTATAAAACCTTTTGCTTTTGCCTCATTAACCTTTGACACTTTCATACATGAGGTGTCAAGTTTTTAACTTCTTACTTAATTCTATAACTCTTGTACTCCACTTTATGGTGGGACCTACTTTGAATTGTCCTGTAATAACTGTAGAAAACAATTCTCCTTTCTTTTCAAGGAATAATTTTCTATTATTACTGCAGAAAATTACTTTATTGTTGGTGATTCGAAGCTTGCGTGGACCGGAAGAGGGAAATTTTCAAGATAAGACCTACTTTAAATTATGTCTTTCAGAAGGAGTGATTATATGTAGACTGTAGTAAATGCAAAAAACAATTTCCCTTTCTTTTTGGGGAATAATTTTTTGCTATTATTGCAGAAAATTATTCTGTTGCTAGTTACTCAAATCATACATAGGGTCCATAAATTATAGGAAAGAGAAAAAAATTAAGACGAGACCTACTTTGAATTGTGACTGCGGAAATGAGTGATTATGTGCATTGACTGCATAAAATAATTCCCTTTTCTTTTTAGGAAATAATTTTCTCCTGTTATTGCAAAAAATTACTTTGCTTCTGGTGACTCAGAGCATGCATGGGCCCCTATAGATTATGGGGAAAAGAAAAAAAATTAAAATGGGATGTACGTTGAATCGTGTCTGCGGAAAGCAGTGATTATGTGTAGTAACTACAGAAAACAGTTCCCCTTTCTTTACTGGGAATAATTTTCTGTTGTTATTGCAGAAAATTACTCAGCTATTGGTGACTCAAAGCATGCATGGATTCCATAAATTATTGGGAAGAGAAAATACGAGACCTACTTTGAATTGTGTCAGTGAGAAGGAGTGATTATCTCTAGTAACTGCAGAAAACAATTCTCCCTTTTTTGGGAAATATTTTTCTGTTGTTACTGTAAAAAATTACTACGTTGCTAGTGATCAAGGTAGTCAAAATCTAGTTTCTACATAGAAACGTAATTGGTAGAAACGAGACGAAACATAAATTTTTTAATACTTAAGGTCAAGATACAAAATTATATATATATATATATATATATATATATATATATATATATATGCATGTAAAAAAAATCACATAAATCACTACTCAAAATTTAATAAATAACTTCATATTTAAAAGATATAAGTCACATAACTATATAAGATATAAGTTCAAAAATATTAAAAAAAATGGAAAACAGGTTATTTAAAAAAAAATTGAGTTTCATTAAAAACAGTAAAAAACATAAAAACTTGTGTTTCTACCATTTTTACGTTTCTACACGACGTTTTTACCTGTTTCTACTAAGGACCGTTTCTACTTACGTTTTAACAGATTTTTACACTGCGTTTATACATTTTATGTTTTTAGACTAGTTTTTAACAACAATGCTAGTGACTCAAAGCACGAGTGGGGTGAATACACTATGGGTATGAGAAATTTTTTTAAGATGGGACCTACTTTTGGGAAGGAGTGATTATCTGCAAAAAATAATTCCCTTTTGTTTTTAATATCTTACTATTTTTCTTAGTTTTAAGGTTCCCGTTTATTTTATTACCGTATAAAATTATGGGAAAAATTATTCTCATGCTACATAAGATAAGTTTTTCATCCTACACACCATTCGATAACTGTGACATCTTTTTTTTTTTAATTTTTTTAGGTGGAGAAACCCACTATGACATGAGATAACTTATATCCTTTAACCAATGTTAATAAAATCGGACCGACCCGGGAACCGATAAATCGGTCATATAACTGGTTCGGTTGAAGCAATGGACCGACTATGCATAAGAACCATTGTGACCCGCCGATTTTCATGAAAACCTGCGTGACCCGTCCGATTTTCATGAAAACCGTTGACCCGACCTGGTCCCAAAACAAAAATTCCAATTTTTTTTAAAAAAAAAAAAACATAATGGACATATTTATTTTTTTTTTCTTATTGCCTTACGTGAGTTATGTACCTACAACATTAATATTATCTCAATTATGCACTATGCAGAAAATGTTGATTTGATTTATAGTTAGAGATGTCGTTTACTGAACCTGAAGCCTTGTATCACGATTATTATATTTTTGTTTGATTCTTTATTAGATAATAATATGTGATTTATTATTTTTTATATTAAAATATTTGAAATTTTTATCATTTTTTTTAGATATTTGAGTATGTTTATAATTTTTTAATATAAATTATAGAATTGCATATAATTACTGGGTCATGCGGTTGAACCATTGACCCACTGGTTGAACCAGTGACCCAGTACCTCAATCGGGTCAATGACCAGGTCAGTTTAGTAACATTGCCTTTAACATGAGATTAATAAAATCTTAAAATTATCCTATAATCTATAATTTTATTAAACGGCTAAAGGTTTACCATAATTTTATTTGATTAAAAAATTTTCTTTAAAATATATTTTAAAAATATTGAACTCTTATCCTTAACAATATTTTAGGAGTTCTCTTGTTAATCATGACAATTATTTTTATCCCCATAAAATTGTCCCTTGGGATGTTACATTACACCCCCAAATAAAAGAGCATAGCATGCGAATAAATATTATACTGTCCGATTAACTTAAAAAAAAAAATTCACCATTTATATACAAAAATAAAATAAAAAACTTCACCATTTAATATATTGAAAGTAATGTATAAGAATATCTCCTTATAACGTTTTTGTATGACTACATTTACAAATATCTCTCCATTATTTATCACTAATTCAATGACATGTTAAGCTTTTTTCTTAAAATAAAAATAAAAATAACAAGAGCAGAAATTTCTCTTGTTTTAAGCTTTTGGCATGAAAGCTGTTCCTATGCATGCCTATGCCTTACACGACAATCTCATCCCGGGTAGTTGGGCTGTGATAAAAGTAGTTCTGAGCAGCCCAAACCAATATATGGGCTGAATGGAAATGGGCCAACCCAACCAACTAGGGTTTTGAACTCTTAAAACAAAAACCTCACAAAAAATAAACAGAGAACAAAGTTAGGGTTTTGTTCTCACAGTATAAAAATGTACTGAGCGTGGTGGCTTTGTCTTCGCATTCGTATCTTTCAAATTTCCGATCTTACTCGTTCTCTGAAGTAAGGTAGGTTGCTTTTACTTGTTTATTTTCTTTTTTTCTTCGAGATTTATGCTTATGCTCTCGAATATGTGCTCTTATGCGTGTATGTTCTTGTAATTGATTCTGGACTTGTGATTGTCTCTAATGAGGATTCAATTCAATTAAAACTTTCGTTCTTCTGATGAAAAATCCATGAAGAATGCTATTTTGGAGACCTGAACTGAAGAGACATAGTTAAAACATCAGTGGTCGAAACATTCATGTTTCTTTAATTCCTTATTTTTGTTGTCGTTGTCGTTTTTTTAATGGCTCTTACTTCACCATTCTTGATTGTTTGTTTAGTGTTCGAAGTTGATAAAAAATGATATCTTCATACTGCGTTTTTTTAATACTAGGATCTGAGGTTTCTAGGAGATGGTTGGGGGCAGCATCGCTCAGATGAGGTTTTTAAGCCATTTATCTTCTGAGCTATTGAAAAATCATGTGCCCATTTGGGGTTTTCCACTCAATTTTTGACACAAACCATCTTGGTCTTGGTATGAAACCTTCTTGTTATTTTGAATGACTTGAGTTGTTTTAATTATGAAAAGATGTGTTTATCCCCCTTTGTGATCTTAATTTAACATACATTAGATTGCATAGTGAGCCATAAAGTCTCTGAGGATGATAACAAAAATAACTTTCGTTCTTCCGAGTTGTCCATGCGGAAAATACATGGAGACCTGAACTGAAGAGACTATCTTATGCTCGTCTTCCTTTTCCCTCCCTGCCCCCCTTGAGTCTATTGCTTGTCTTTTGTTTTGTCTATTGTTCACAATATCAATTTGTTTTAATTTAGCTTGATAATATGATAGTTTCTTGTTTGCTTACAGCTTTATTAACGGATTAGCTCTTCTACATGAATAAGTCATGTCTTCTGAAGTCTGTCCTGACTTGAAACTAATCAAAATAGCCTCTGAGGATGATCAGAAAAATAACTTTCGTTCTTCCGAGTTGTCCATGAGGAAAATACATGGAGACCTGAACTGAAGAGGCTTGCTAATGTTTTTTTTTTCTCTTCCCTTTGTGCTCCCTCTTCTTTTTCTGATTTTTCTATTATGATATTTATTATTCTTTGCAATTTACTAAATTTTTTAGTTTTGTGTTCCTTAGTTTCTTGTTTCAATTTATTATTTGATTCATATGTTCTCTCTTATGTCAGTTTCTACTTTATTTGAAGAATTTCGCAGCTTCACTTCAGTTCCTTCCATAATGAGGTATTTATTCTGTCACTGTTCACTTGTTGAATTCTATTGATGTCATTATTAATATAAATTTTGCAGCGTTTTTTCCCTTAAATACTCACACTTTTGCTTTGTTTTCCCTACTTTCTCTTTTCAAGCCGTCCAATGGAGGAAGAAGTAAGTCCTTTTGTCCTTTAATCTTACTTTTACACAAAGTTTGGCATTTTGATCCTGACACTGTATGCTTGTTTTGATTGTTCTTCATTTTCTATCTACACAACCTAGTGAATGACTGTATTTATAATAGTGCAATTTTTATTTTTATTTTTATTTTTTTGCATTATTTGACCTGATCTTGAGTAGGCTTTTCTCTGAAGTAACCAGCCTAGTTAGAGAAGGGAATTTTATTTTGTGATGTCAAAATCTTTTTTCTTACATTACAGGTTGTGAACAAACAAAATGAATCTGATAAATTTCCCAGCTTGAAATTTAGTAGCTATGTTTCCATGATATGATTTTGTGATTTGTGAGCATGTGGAAGGAACCTGGCTTTTCTTGCATAACTAATTGGTTTTCCTACAGTAATGTTCATGACATCTAATACTAGGGGCTTTAGATGAGTGTTTACTATGCCTTATTATCTTATCAATTTAACATTACTACATTGTTACAGACGGCTAAGAATGAGGAAGAGGAATTCAACACTGGACCACTATCTGTACTCATGATGAGTGTGAAAAATAATACCCAGGTGTTTTTTTTTTTTGAATTACATAATACTATGGGTTCTGAGCAAGGCTCATGTTTTTTATGTGAGATTTTACTTAAACATTTAACTTATACAGGTGCTAATAAATTGTCGAAACAACAAAAAGCTTCTGGGTCGTGTTAGGGCCTTTGATAGACACTGCAACATGGTTCTTGAAAATGTCAGGGAGATGTGGACTGAGGTATGCTTTGTTTCTATGAGATTTGTTCCCTTGCACTTATTACATCAGCTAAGTGTTCTGTGTAAATCAGGTGCCAAAGACTGGTAAAGGAAAGAAAAAGGCTCAGCCTGTCAACAAAGATCGTTTTATCAGCAAAATGTTCCTCCGTGGAGATTCTGTCATCATTGTTCTTAGGAACCCCAAATAAGCTAGTTGACTCTGTAGTATTTGCCTCTTCGGTATCTTGAATTCTTGATAACTAAATATATGGTCGTCTAGACTTTCCTGCCTTTAAAATTGGTAACATGTTGAGATATTGGCGGAGGATGTCGATGGTATTTTGATTTGGACGCCCAAGAACGATTGAACCAATTCTCAGATATCTTTTTCAATTATGTACGTATTAACATGTATCTCGAATGGAGTAGATCTAACATGTAAACATCCTTTTATCCACCCTCCCGCCCCCCAGTGTGACGCAATCTTTCTGTAGTAGTGACTTGTGATGGATTTTTATGCTAGAATATCTTCAAATTCCATTTGTGTTTCAAACGAACTAATCTCAATTTTTTGGTACGTAAAAAATAATTACTTTCTACACAGAAAGTTGTTAGGCTAAATTATTATTGTGTTAACTTTTTTTTGTGGTTTCCTCTATTATTATACTTTTTAAAGGAAGACGTAAAATTTGCTGGTAGTGAAATCCGTTTATGTAAAAAATGAAGGAAAGTTTAGTGAATTGAGTTAATTATTGATTGTTTTGTTATTTTACTGCACTTTTTGTTAAAAATAAATAAATAGGACGACGGAGGATTTCGTAAATGTATGAAGTGATTTTATTATTTTATTTTGAATAGGTTTGAAACCTATGATATCATGCCAACTATTTCAACCACTTGATCACTTCTAGTGACTTTATGAAGTGTCATTTTTAAACCATGTAGGATCAAATTGTTTTTGAATTAAACAAATCTTATTATATACCCAATTTTATTGCAAAAAGTTTTAATTTTTTTTTGATCAGTTGAATTTTAATATTTTATTGTTAATTGCTTCATTACTCAAACATTTTCTGAAGGTACGCAACAACATTTTGTTTTCTTTGTAGGGTTGTGTTATCGCTAAAAGCCACCAAAGCGAAATACACTATCGCATTAACCTAATAAATTTTTGAACTGCGATTTATTCTTCAAAACTGAATTTAATATGCGTAAAAAATTGTTTATGTCAAAAGAGTTCCTAATTAGCTAAGTGAATAGAATAGAATAGATAGCTGGATCATAAAATTTTAATAATGTGATTTTTTCCGTATGAAAAGTGTCTAGAGGAACTTCAAATCAAAATTGATCAATAAATTCTCACTCAAAAAGATCAGTACAGCATTGGGTGATCTCTCCCATGCCATAACCAATGCTTGTTATTCCCAATAGATAAGACTACAGCAATTGCTCAAACAAGGCCTTTATGTTCCTTTTTTTTCAAGCTAGAGCTAGAGTACTACCACATCCTTGAAAAACGAAATGATTAACCGCATCCAACTATCAGACAAAAAACTGATCCAAAACATTTGAAATATGAGAACTCATAGCAACATCTCAGCAATCTGGATTGCATTGAGTGCAGCTCCCTTACGAATTTGATCCCCACATACAAATATGTCCAACCTGTGTATATCCACCATTGATGTAAAATGCTTAGGATAAAGTGCAACGCTAATTGAAAAATGATAATATAGAGCCATTGAAGAGATTTTACCCTTGATCCCCATCCTGAGACAGGTCACGGCGAATCCTGCCAACAGCAACATCATCCTTATTTGACACTTCCAATGGAGTAGGAAAACGATTGGATTCACGATCATCAATAACCACTACACCCGGAGCATTCTTCAGAATATCTCTTGCTGTGTCCTGAAGAAATGGAAATCAGATGAACTCAGACAAGTTAGATTTTAACTTTTAGACAAAGTTTCTCACCCAAAATGCATTCCATATTCCTTGTCCTATATAAACATGATTCTAGGCACGCAAAAGATAACGGGACCCTGCTTAAAATTGTATTTGATCATTCCAATTTCCAACACTGAATACAAAAAGAACCATAAAGATGTGCTGTTTCATATCATTAAAACAACAGAAACAACAAAGATCATCAAGAAATGACAACAGTGCATAAGCCAACACTTCGAAGTTAAGTTTTATCACTACAAAAGAAATGATGATGTCCAAGAAACGACTGTTTCTTTTGAGCCCATAACAATGCTCTTAGCTCAGTGTTTTTCTTTCTCCATCATCATAAAACCAACCAGCAGTGTGTCTCTGAAGGAGTTCTAATCTATCAATCATAAACCCAAAGACCCCTATAAATTAAACAACATTATAAGCCCCAACACAACAAAGAACATGTGAGCTATCTATAGGAAGTTGGGTTATCAAGTTTGCCTACATGCCACTAATTATTTAATCCAGACTTTGCAGATTTGTCTATACGCTATACATATGTGATAAAGTCTGAATTTGATACAGACTTATCCATCCTGCATCAATTTTTATATGACAAGCAAAAAGTCAATTCGGTTAGACTCCCTAAAACTAATTCTAGCAACTCCCAGCAGGTCACACACTTCAGTTGTCAAAAGCCTGTGAAAGGCTATCATGTAAACACTATTCCCCTAATCAGAAGCCCGTTATCCTTGACATTCTGAAAAATCAATGAATGATCAACATAAGGTAGTAGTAAGCTGTGGGTTAGTTCTCACGTTAGACCTAGCCTCCCAGGTCAACCACACAGGAAACTCATTGTCAAGAAACAGGGGAACAGAATATAACTAACCTCGTCAACAAGTTCAATAAAAGAATTCAAACAGTCCAAGCTTACAAAATGATTAAATGAAGTAATAACATACGAGAAATTTTACGTGCATAGGATGCCATACCAATTTGAATCCAACTACAAACCATCAAACAACAAAGAATGCAAAATTTATTTCCTTCAATTTTTGGAGGGGGAAAATATTATTGAATCCAATATAAATTTTAAAAAACATGGAATAAATTAGTTGTGAGCTAGGAGTACAGGAGTTGGGATAAAATGCTGTATCCAGTTTAGGACCTGAAATGTTATGTCCACTTTTGGTTATAACAGAAAGACACATAGCATGACAACATGAACTACCTCATCAAGGGGTCTCTCAAATTGAAGATTCACACTCTCAGCATGAGCCCGCATGACAGGAACTCTTATACAAGTGGCAGTTACTTTAACGTCCTTGTCATTCTGCAAAAGTGTAAAAAATGAAATAAGCAGGATATAGGCATTTAATTATCAATAGTTTGAAACAAATAAGCTAACAAACAAGATATAAATATTCAATTTCAACTTACCCAAATTTTCCTTGTCTCCTTGACCATTTTCATTTCTTCTTCATTATATCCATTTGAAAGAACAGGTGCATTATGTGAGAATAGATTAAAAGCATACTGCAAAATAATAACAGCATCAGGAAGTAGGTCTTGAATTTCTAAACATGAGAGGTATATACAGAATAGGACAAACCTGTTGTTTAAATATTTGACATGTTGGTGATCTTCCTTCCAACACCTTAAAAAATAAAATCAATTTGTTATTACAGACTATGAAACCAGTTTCCCTTCTTATAGGTTCCCCCCAATGCTAGAACACGAACTAAGCAAACAAACTGTTGTAGATAGACCAAACCTCACGAGTTTGCAGCTCAAGCTCTTCCATTGCAGCAGCACCAGCACCACTAGCAGCCTGGTAGGTACTAACAACCATACGTAACACCTGCAATATTAATTAATAGTAGAGAAGTGAATCAAGCAAGCATAAAGTGTAAGGACATCACAAAAGCATACAAATACATAAAATCGTAAAATCAAACCAAGCAAGCCATTGATTAAAAAATCACATATGAATTTACATGAAAAGAATAAAAAAAAGACAAAAAATTAAAAAAGTTGTACCTTAGCACGTCGATGAAGAGGGGTAGCAGCCATCAAGCAAATAATGGTGGAGCAATTGGGGTTAGCAATGAGTGCGCCTTTACCCGTTCCAAGCTTGATGTTTTGCATCGCTTCAGGGTTCACCTCTGGAATCACCAGTGGAACCTTCTCGTCCATTCGAAACGCCGAGCTATTGTCCACCACCACCGTTCCCCGATCGACGGCGATGGGGCCGAACTCCCTGCTTATGGACCCGCCGGCGCTGAAGAGAGCAATGTCGACGCCGTCGAAGCTCTCCGGCGTGAGCTCCTCCACGACGTACTCGTTCTCCTCGAAGGTGAGGCGGCGGCCGGCGGAGCGCTTCGACGCCAGCATTTTGATGGAGCGGTAGGGGAAATCCCGGTCGGAGAGGACGGAGAGGAACTCTTGGCCGACGGCGCCGGTGACCCCCACGACGGCGATGGAGGGTCCGTTTTCTCGGAGGGACATTCGGATCTTGGTTGGGGCCGCGAACCTGGGTTTGGGTCGGGTCGGGTGGGTCGCTGAGAAGAAGTGATTCTGCCGCGAAACAGAGAGCGAAGCCATTGATATCGATATTATTGTTGGTTTAGAGAGAGAGAGAGAGGGAGGGAGAGGGTTTTGCTGAACTTTTTATAGAGAGAGAAAGGGTTTTACTAATGTAATGGCTTGGCGGCTGATGGTTAAGTGAGAGTAATGAGTCAAGCAGTTTGAGATTTAAAAACAGGGGACGAGGTTGCAGAAACTGTGAGACGAGGGTAGAATTGACTTTGCACTTGTTGTCCTAACCCCTTTGTTTTGTATCACTACTAACTAATAATTGTTTAGTTAGGACTTGGATGGGACATGTTACACTGTTGGAAATGAAACATGATATACATATATATATATATATATATGGGTTTGATGTTTGTCACATATAACTTATGTCATTTTAGAAGAGAGATAGATACAGAAAAATGAAAATTATGGAAGGAAGAAAGTGAGTGGTTTTTTTAATTTAAATAAGTTTTTTTTTTCTGTGTATGTCTCTCTATCTTAAAAGGACAGAGTATTATGTCATTTAAAATGACAAATACTTTTCCATATATATATATATATATATATATATATATATATAATAAGATTATATTCACAATTTATTTTTATAAACTTATAATGTAAAATTACATTATGTTAGATCAGATATAGTGTAGAATTTGTAAACAAAAAATTTATAAACATAATCTTTTCCTATATATATATATATATATATATATATATATATATAATATTTTTGACATGATTCAACTAGTTGTAAAGATTAATATTAGGTAGGATAAATTGAATTATTTAGGATAGGAATTAACAAATATTCTAAATTATTTTGTTAGAATTGGTCTATTCGTAGCTCCTAAGGCAACACTTGGATTCGACGAACACGTTTCTCACGTATATTAATTATTAAAACTATCCCAGTTGTGCTCTTAAATCTAATTCAGAACAGTTTAAATTATTTATAGATTTTTGATTTTTATATTTTGCCATAGTTGGTGAGGGATTGACAAAGAAACATTGATCTTGATCTTGTCAAACACTTTTGGTAAGCCTAGTGAAAGTCTAGTACAAATCCTACTTTTCACCAGTGTAACCCTTCCCGGATAAGAGCTGCACTAGACAAAGGGAGAAGAAAAACAGAGTTTTCAGCATTAAACAAGTTTATATATATTCATGCGAAGAACCAAAGAGGTGCAGGTTCAGAAATTTGGTTCCTATGTCTGGGAATTTTTCTTCTGTTGCTGTGTCTCCTCCTCCAACTAAGCATGATGTGTTCCTCAGCTTCCGAGGGGAAGACACACGTAACGGTTTCGCTGGTCATCTTTATGCAGCGTTATGTGGTAAAAAAATTAAGACTTATATAGATGACAGACTTGGTAGAGGAAATGAAATTTCACCGTCACTGCACGAAGCAATTGAAGAATCAAATATTTATATCATCATTTTCTCCGAACACTATGCTTCTTCCACGTGGTGTTTGGATGAACTCAAAAAGATACTCGCATGCAAGGAGAGTTATGGAAGGGTCGTGATACCTGTTTTTTATAACGTTGACCCATCAGATGTTAGGAATCAAAGAGGGAGTTATGCAGATGCGTTTGTTAAGCATGACCTACGATTTATGGACAAAGTGAAGCTATGGAAAGTTGCTCTAACCGAAGCAGCAGGATTATCGGGTTGGGGTTCAAAAAGAATCGGGTGACTAATCTTAATACTCTTCTGAAGTTTTTTTATATTTGTGTTTGGTATGATAATATAAATTAATTTTGAATTTAGTTGATTTTATCCTGAAATCAATTTGTATGTTCTAAAATGAACAAAATTTGAAAATGAATTTCTTTTTTTTCTTTTTTTCTTTGTCTCCAACTCAATCAATCATACTTTAAACTAGAACAGTCATCATGCATATCAATGTATGGGAATAATGCCATATGATTTTACAAATTCCGAAGCAATTATATGACATATAGTTTCTTTACTTTGTGCTGGACCTGAATACCTGCTTGTTCGAGAAATTGTTCAAGATATTTTGAGAAAATTGAGGAATCGTTCTTCCACAATTGCTTGTCAAGGATTGGTTGGAATTGACAAGCATATTGCACAAATCCAGTCCTTGTTACAAAATGAGTCAGCAGCCGTTCGGATCATAGGAATTGGTGGCACCGGAGGAATAGGGAAAACAACAATTGCAGGTGCAATATATCATGAACTTGCAACCCAATTCAGTTCCAGCAGCTTTGTTGTAAATGTTCATGAAGAAATAGAAAGATATGGAATGCACCATGTACAGAGCAAATATTTATCAGAGGTTCTAGGGGAAGAAAAAACGTCCCTTGGTTTAAGTTCTTCTGATGAAAGGATTAAACGGGCAAAGGTTCTCCTTATTCTTGATAATGTCAACAATGCAGGTGAGATTAGAGATTTGATTGGAGGACGTGGTAGCTACTGCCCGGGAAGCATAATCATTGTGACTAGTAGAGACATGCAAGTGCTGAGGAATGCTGAAGTAGATGAGCTATATGAGGTTAAGGAGATGAGTTTTCAAGATTCTCTTCAACTTTTTAGTTTGAATGCCTTTAAGCAAAACTATCCAATAGAAAACTACACGAGCTTGTCACAAAAGGTATTGAAATATGGTAAAGGGATTCCATTAGCTCTCATAGTTTTGGGCTCAATGCTTTATGGTATAACAAAGGAAGAATGGGAAAGTGTACTGCAAAAGCTTGAAAAGCTTCCCGATCTTGAAACTTCCAATGTGTTGAAATTAAGTTATGATGGACTTGATGATGAACAGAAGCATATATTTCTTAACTTGGCATGTTTCTACAGAGGACATGATATGAATACTGTAAAACAAGCACTAGATAGCTGCGGTTTCTCTGCTGCCTCTGGAATAAGACCACTCACAGATAGGAGCCTTGTATCTATTTTGAAAGGAGAAATTGTGATGCATGATCTAATACAGGAAATGGGTCAAGAAATTGTTCGTCAACAATGTGTCAGTGAACCTGGGAAACGTAGTCGATTGTGGAAGCACGAGGATATTTATCATGTTTTAACAGAAAACAAGGTAAAACCTATATATTCATCTGCCATTTTGCTTTCTACACTCCTTAAAACCTCATTGGATAAGACATACAGTAACATGGATTTACTTTATCACAGATTGTAATGCACTTATTAGCTATTAAATTTCCTACAACTACGTCTTTTAGTTCTGTTTATTTCTTCCTAAACACTTAGCTTTAAATTTTAGGGGACGGATGCAGTCCAATGTATATTCCTAGACATGTGCCAAATCAAAGCAGTTCAACTACATGCAGAAGCCTTCAAAATGATGGATAATCTGAGACTTCTTCAGTTCTATAAGTCTAAATCAACTGAAGACTCAAAAGTGCACATTCCTGCATTTCTTGAGAGTCTTCCTAATGGTTTACGATTTCTTTGTTGGGATGGCTTCCCTCAAAGATCATTGCCACTGGTTTTTCGCCCAGAAAATCTTGTTGAACTTGATATGCGTGACTGCCAACTTGAACAACTTTGGGAGAGAGATCAGGTATCGCAAGCCCTAAGATAGTTTCCTTTGTATTTTAGTGATGGATGAGCTTTATCTATACATGTATGATTAGGTGAAGTTCACGAACTTTTCTTTTGTTATTTAATTATTCATTTACTTTTTTTGTGCCAGCATTTACCAAATTTGAAAAGGCTTGACCTTCGTGGTTCAAAGAACTTGATTCAAATACCAGACTTGTCTCAGTCCCCAAATATTGAAGAAATCATTCTTAGTCACTGTGTAAACTTGGTTCAAGTTTACTCCTCGAGTTTTCTCAGCAAGCTCAACTGTTTGTGGTTAAATGGTTGTTTTGAGCTCAGGAGTTTAAATCTTCCCAGCAATATTCTTTCAAAATCTTCTGGATTAATAGTTCTCTATGGTTGTTTCAACGTTGAGATGTTTTCAATCAGTAGCATGAACATGGGGGCTCAGTTATCCAGTTGTTCTCGTAGTATATCATTAGAAAGAATATTCAGCAACAGTTTGCCAGGGGAAATATTTCGTTGTTCTAGAGTTACAGGACCAAGTTCTATATTTGAGAAATTCTCAGATACCTTTGAGCCCGTGGATTATGCTGACTTAAATGAAGAACCGAAGGATAATATACACTTGCTGAACTTGAAAATGTTGAGAGAAGGTTCGGCCTCATTATTTCCAAGTCTCAACGAGCTTTGTTGGTTAGATCTCTCATACTGTGAATCCCTCACAAGTCTTCCAATTGATCTTTTAAAGTTGAAATTTCTAAGAAGACTATATCTCCAAGGTTGCTCAAATTTGGAAAGTTCCCTGAAATAGAGGAGACTATGGAAAATTTAATGGTGCTCATCTTAGACGAAACAGCAATACAAGAACTACCTTTGTCATTGCACCATTTGGTTGGGCTTGAAGAGTTGAGCTTGCGCTGGTGCCAACGGCTTCAGTTTATTCCACCTTCAATTGGAAGTCTCAGCAAACTCTGCATGTTAGACCTTACTCATTGTGAATCACTTGAAACTCTTCCCAGCAGCATTTTCAAGTTGAAGTTGACAAAACTTGATTTGCATGGTTGCTCAATGCTGAGGACCTTCCCAGAGATCTTGGAGGCTGCAGAAAGTTTTGCGCACCTTCGCCTCACAAAAACAACAATTAAAGATATACCTTCATCATTGGAGTATTTGGTTGGGCTTCAAACCTTGCGGCTGAACTTGTGCAGGGATCTGGAGTTTCTTCCAAACAGCATTGGTAATGTAACACTTCTCTCCGAGCTTGACTTTTCAGGATGTGACAAATTATCCAAAATCCCAAGTGACATTGGCCGATTGTCATTGTTAAGAGAATTGTCACTGCGGGAAAGTGGTATTGTTAACCTTCCTGAGAGTATTGCTCATCTTTCGAGCTTGAAATCACTTGATGTAAGTGATTCCAAAAGGCTTGGATGTATCCCAGAGCTTCCACCATTTCTGAAACACTTGTTGGCATTTGACTGCCCATCCATTAGGAGTGTGTCAAGTTCAAGGTTTAATGTCTCATCAGATTCCAAAGAGGAAGTCTTCAAATTTCATCTCACCAATAGTCAAGAACTGGATCCAAGTGCTCAAAGTAACCTTGCGGCTGATGCATGGCTTAGGATCCTCCAGGATGCATATAGGTCTGTGCTCTATTGCTTTCCAGGGGGTGCAGTTCCTCATTGGTTCCCTTATCGTTGCAAGGGACATTCAGTAACTTTGGATATAGATTCTCTAAATTGGTGCAATGATAATACGTTCGTTGGTTTCGCTCTATGTGTCGTTTTGGGACTTGAAGGTATGGATGATGAAGAAAGTAAATACAGTGTTTTTAGCTACAGATTCACATTTGAATCAGATGATGGCATACACATTGTTCCTAGCAATGATCAGCTAAGATACTATCTTAAGTGGAAGGGTCGACAGAGATTTATTGTCCATGATCACACATTCTTGTGGAAATATTACTTTGATTCTTCAAGCATCAGCCAAATTTTGCTTTCTCATGCCCACAACTTCACTTTCGAGATCTGCAAGTACGATGTTGGCCGCTCTTGGACGAATTATAGACCAACATTCAAGGTAAAAGAGTGTGGAATATGCCCTCTTTATACGAAAGAAAAAGATGATAATGCTTATGCTGGTGACTGTTCCTACTTTCAAAAATTCTGAAATAATGACATTGAAGAACCCAGTGGAAGCAAAGCTGCACAATCCATAGCAAGGAAACAGAAGCAGAGGGGGAGGATGACCGTTGCAGAGATCCCTAATACCTTCTGTATTTTGTAATAACTTTCTATATTTGAATAAGCTTGGCCTATGTATATTGACATGATCATCTGAGTGTTACACACAAGTGAAGGTCTTGTTATGGTTTTTCGTAATAAATGACATTCTTTTTGTTAAAAACAATAGATGTCAAAACTATAATTGCCGTAATGTGCTTATCAGTGTAGAATTGTCTAAAGGCCATAAAGTTACACCTCTTATTCAGACTTATGAAATTCTAACGTATATTATATTGAATGCATCCCCTGTGGTGGTGCTATTAGATCCTCACATCATGTCTTCCTTCATTTTCTTCTCTTTCAATATTTATTTACTTTATTTAATCTTTATATTCTGACGCATATGCTGAGCATCTGACAAAGAAAACTGAAAGTCAACCACAACTACTACTCTTCACAGGTTAAGAGCTGCACTGGCTAAAGCCCAGAGCAAGAATTATAAAAAAAATAAATAAAAAAAATACATCTCTGTGTATATATATATCTACATGCGAAAGACCTAACTAAGAGGTACCATGGCTGATAGGAAATTGGTTCCAATAACGGCGAGTTCTTCTTCTGTTGCGGTGTCTCCTCCTCTAAAATATGATGTGTTCCTCAGCTTCCGAGGGGAAGACACACGCGAAGGTTTCACTAATTATCTTTATGATGCATTGTGCCGTAAAAACATTGAGACTTTTATTGATAACAGCCTTGTTAGAGGAGATGAGATTTCATCATCCCTTCACCAAGCAATTGAAGAATCAAACATTTATGTCATCATTTTCTCCCAACACTATGCTTCTTCCACGTGGTGTTTGGATGAACTCACAAAGATACTCGAATGCAAGGAGCGATATGGAAGGCTTGTGATACCTGTTTTCTATAACGTTGACCCATCAGATGTTAGGAAACAAAGAGGCAGTTATGCAGATGCGTTTGTTTTGCATGACCAACGACCCAACCACCAAGTATCGCAGAGGTGGAAGGCTGCTCTCACCGAAGCAGCTGGACTATTGGGCTGGGATTCAAAAAAATATAGGTAAGTTGATTAATAATTAACATGCTCTTTTGAGATATTTTATGAGATTGATTCACAAAAATCTGCACGTGTGCCTACCATTTCTTGATATTACTCTTTTTTTTTTTTTGGTACAATTCTCGATATTGCTCTAGTACTACTAGTCTAGAACTCGCATGTTTATAGGGCCCTTGCAAAATATCTATAGACGTAGAAAGGGGAAAAGTGGACATCAAGCCCATTAGAGAATTGGTAGGAAGGAGATGAATTGGCTGATCCTAAGGAGCATAACAGTATGTAGATAGCTAAGGAAAGAGAAGTGAGGTAAATTGAGGGACTGGACAGCCGGCAAGCTTTGATGGTGAATATGAATTGGGGAGCAACGGCATGGGTGAGGCGTGGATAAAGGAGGGAAATGTAGTGTGGGAAAGGGAATTTGGAACTCTATGGGATAGGATTTTTTTTGTAGGGGGAGCTGGGTTTTTCAGTAGTAGTAGTAGTGTGACCTTGTATTTGTGCATGAGTTTTTCTGTTTACAATTGGAGTCCTGTATTGTGATCAATTGGCTTTAATTAGAAGTATATTTTGGTTGGAACTTGTTGTAAGGGGCTGTTTCCCCAATTTGTGTTAATTCAAAATTTCTAGTACCATCAGGTTCATTCTTATAACTTCTTGTTTGCCTTTTTTTTTTTTGTTGGTTCGAGACTAATGCTCTAGTTTCTTAATTTAATATGTACCAGCCCTGAATACAAGCTCATTGAAGAAATTGCAAAAGACATTTTGGGAAAATTGAAACGTTCTTCCATGATTGACCACCAAGGACTGATTGGAATTCACAAGCACATTGCACAGATCCAGTCCATTTTGGATGTTGAGTCAACAGCTGTTCGGATCATCGGAATTTGGGGCATGGGAGGAATAGGAAAGACAACAATTGCTGGTGCAATATATCATAAACTAGCAACCCAATTCAGTTGCAGATGCTTTGTTGAAAATGTTCAGGAAAAAATAGAAAGAAATGGAATACACCATGTGCAAAGAAAATACTTATCAGAGCTTTTAGAAGAAAAAATTCCCAATTTGATTTTCGGATTTTTAAAGGAAAGGCTTAAACGGCGTAAGGTTCTCCTTATTCTTGATAATGTGAACAATTCGGGTCAACTTAATGATTTACTTGGAGGGCATGGTAGCTTCGGCCAGGGCAGTAGAATCATTCTCACTAGTAGAGACATGCAAGTGCTTAAGAATGCCAAAGCTGAAGAAATATATGAGGTTAAAGAGATGGGTTTTCAAGACTCTCTACAACTCTTCAGTTTAAATGCCTTTAAACAAAACTATCCAACTGAACATTATATGTGGTTGTCAGAAAAGGTACTGAATTATGCTAAAGGGATTCCATTAGCTCTCAAAGTTATGGGCTTATTGCTTTATGGTAGAACAAAGGAAGAACGGGAAAGTACAGTGGGAAAGCTGGAAAAGCTTCCCGATCCTGAAACTTTTAATGTGTTGAAATTAAGTTATGATGGGCTTGATGATGAACAGAAGGATATATTTCTTGACATAGCTTGCTTCTATAGAGGACATGACATGAATATTGTGAAACAAACACTAGATAGCTGTGGTTTCTCTGCTGCCATTGGAATGAGAGTTCTCATTGATCGAGGCCTTATATCTATTTTGAAAGATAAAATTGTTATGCATGATTTGATACAGGAAATGGGACAAGAAATTGTTCGTCAACAATGTGTCAAAGATCCTGGAAAACGCAGTCGATTATGGAAGCACGAGGATATTTATCATGTTTTAAGAAAGAACAAGGTAAAACACTATATATTCCGATCTCATTTTTGCTTTCTTCACTCCCCGAGACACAGAGTTAGATGGATTTACTTTATCACCTATTGCAAAACGCTTAGCAGTTATTAATATTTTCAACTTTTTTTGATTCTGTCTTCCTAAATCCTTCTTTTGACTTGTAGGGGACGGATGCAGTCCAATGTATATTCCTTGACATGTGCCAAATCAAAGAAGTTCAACTACATGCTCAAGCCTTCAAAATGATGGATAATTTGAGACTGCTTCAGTTCTTTAAGTCTAACAAAAGACAAGACTCAAAAGTGCACATTCCATCATTTCTTGAGAGTTTTCCAGATGATTTAAGATTTCTTCGTTGGGATGGCTTCCCTCAACGATCTTTGCCGCTGAGTTTTTTCGCAGAAAATCTTGTTAGACTGGACATGCGTGATAGCCATCTTCAAATACTTTGGGAGAGAGATCAGGTATTGCAAATGCAAACTATTTATAATAAAAAAGGACATTTTAAGTTTACAATTTTTTTTTTTTACAACTTTTACAACTTCAACTATGTTCTTCCGCCGCGAGAACATTAGGAGAGTAGAGTGTTCTCCCATAAGAACATAGTTGAGGTTGTAAGAGTTGTAAACAAAAAAAGTGATAAATGTAACCTTCCCCGATAAAAAAACCCTAATTTGATTTTCCAAATATTAAAGTGTAACCACGCGCGTGTTCTTCAAAGAACTTTCTCATTGAATTAGTTTATATTAAAATATTATCATATGTAATTTTTCTTTTTTAATAAATTAGAATTATTATATGCGAGTAGAATCAACAGTTAATAATTGAGTGTAAAAAATCTCATTCTCACACCGTTAAAAGTTGATTCCTTCCCAAAATTAAACATAATAATCAATTCACCTTTTTTATGCATAAATTGGTCATTTTTAATTATATATTTTTTATGTCATGTGAGATTAAATATTCTTTATACGTCAGTTCTTTTGTGTTTTAAAAAATAAAATATCTTTTCCGAATTATTGGGTGAAATTAAAAATTAAAAATAAAATTAATAATAAAAACAAAAATATTTTGTTAGCTAATCATGAACTTTCTGTGCCAGCATTTACCGAATTTGAAAAAGCTTGACTTGAGTGGTTCTCGGAAGCTGAATCAAATACCAGACCTCTCTCAGTTCCCAAATATTGAAGAAGTAATTCTTAGTCACTGTGTAAGCTTGGTTCAAGTTTCCTCCTCAAGTTTCCTCAACAAGCTCAATTGTTTGTGGCTTAATGGTTGTGTTGAGCTTAGGCGTTTAAATCTTACTAGCAGTGTTCTTTCAAAATCTTCTGGATTAATAGTTCTCTATGGTTGTTGCAAACTTGAGATGTTTTCGGTCAGTAATGCAACCACGGGGGTTCTATTAGGAAACAATTTGCGTAGTAAAAAGTCGTTCAGCAAAGTTCCGCTTCGAATATGTAAGCGCATCAGCTTTCGTTGCCTCTGCGTCAAGTCTGAAAGGCAAAGCTACCACCACAACTTTCAAAGTCCAAGGTCCGTACTTGAGGAATTCTCAGATACTTTTGACCCCTTAGATTGTCCTGAGTTAAATGAAGAACCGAGGGATAATATTCACTTACTAGAGTTAAAAATGTTGAGAGAACGTTCGGCCTCATTATTTCCAAGTCTCAACGAGCTTTGCTGGTTAGATCTCTCATACTGTGAATCCCTTTCAAGCCTTCCAAAGGACCTTTGTAAGTTGAAATTTCTAAAAAGACTATATCTCCGTTGTTGCTCAAATTTGGAGAAGTTCCCTGAAATAGAGGAAACTATGGAAAATTTGAAGGTGCTCATCTTAGACCAAACAGCAATACAAGAACTACCTTTGTCATTACACCATTTGGTCGGGCTTGAAGAGTTGAGCTTGCACAGGTGCCAAAGGCTGGAGTTTACTCCACCTTCAATTGGAAGTCTCAGCAAACTTTGCAAGTTAGACCTTAACTACTGTGAATCACTTGAAACTCTTCCCAGCAGCATTTTCAAATTGAAGTTGACAAAACTTGATTTGTATGGTTGCTCAATGCTGAGGAACTTCCCAGAAATCTTGGAGCCTGCAGAAAGTTTTGCGCACCTTCGCTTCACAAAAACAGCAATTAAAGAGATACCTTCATCATTGGAGTATTTGGTTGGGCTTCAAACCTTGAGCATGAACTTGTGCAGAGATCTTCAGTTTCTTCCAAACAGCATTGGTAATTTAACCCTTCTCTCCCAGCTTGATTTTTCAGGATGTGACAAATTATCCGAAATCCCAAGTGACATTGGCCGCTTGTCATTGTTAAGAGAGTTGTCACTGAGTGGAAGTGGTATAGTCAACCTTCCAGAGAGCATTGCTCATCTTTCAAGCTTGGAATCACTTGATTTAAGATGTTGCAAAGGGCTTGAATGTATCCCAGTGCTTCCTCCATTTCTGAAACACTTGTTGGCATTTGATTGCCCATCCGTTAGGAGCGTGTCAAGTTCAAGGTTTAATGTCTCTTCAGATTCCAAAGAGGAAGTCTTCAAATTTCATCTCACCAATAGTCAAGAACTGGATCCAGGTTCTCAAAGTAACATTGCGGATGATGCACGGCTTAGGATCCTCAAGGATACATATAGGTCTGTGTTCTATTTCTTTCCTGGGAGTTCAGTTCCTCATTGGTTCCGTTATCGTTGCAAGGGAGATTCAGTTACTTTGAATATGGATTCTCTAAATTGGTGCAATGATAATACGTCCATTGGTTTCGCCTTATGCTTTGTTTTGGGGCCTGATGAAGGTATGGATCATGGAGAAGGTGGATGTGGTGCTTATAGCTACAGATTCATTGTTGAATCTGATGATGGCATGCACGTTGTTCCTATACATGATCCGCTACCAAACTCCGGATCCCAGTTGAAGGGTGATCACATAACCCTGTGGAAATGTTGCTTCGATTCTTCAAGCATGAGCCAAATGCTCTCTCATGTCCACAACTTGACTTTTGAGATATGCAAGCGTGATGGTGCCTTTTGGCGAAAAATATTCAAGGTAAAAGAGTGTGGAATATCCCCTTTTTATAGTCAGAAAAAAAATGATAACGGTGGCGCTGGCGCTGGTGACTGTTCCAACTTCCAAAGATTCTCAAATAATGACGATGGGCCTCTAGAGCCTTTGCCAAGGGCTTACAAAAGAAGGCAGTGGTTCAGAGAAGGGCCAGCCCAACAAAAGAATGTTGAGATGGTTGATCCAGACCATCAAGGCAGTAGTGACTTCTGAGAAGAGTGTGACAATGATGGTTTGGGGAGAAAATAAGAAAATGTGAGTTAGTTAAAGAGAGAGAAGAAAAGGACAGCTGGCAGCTTTTGAATGGAGAAGGGGATACGGTGGAGCAGGAAAACGTTGTGTAAGGAGGTTATGGTGGTGTGAGAGAGCAACGTGGGGAAAGGAGAGAAGAAAACAATCAAGTAAAGGGCATGTGAATAGGGGAACTCTGCAAGCAGGTAGGCGTTTGTAGGGGGACGTGTTCTCTTGTGCTTTTTCAGGCCTTTTGATTTTAGTAGTGTTATTTTTATAATGTTTGACCGGAATAATTTCTGGGTCAAAAGTATTACCAATGTAATGCATAACGACACGCTACTGTGAAGAACATTTTAAGACATGACACATATACAACAACGTCCTGTGCATTTGTTATGGCCAATCACGTCACTGAAATGCGCCAATCACGTCACTGAAATGCGTTATTCTTTCAACTGCGTCCTGTGCAAAAATTTTGCAAAGGACGCGGCAGTGCACCAGCCGCGTGTCAGATGTCATTGGGTGAATAAATGCTAAGCTTAATAACCAGACTATGAACAGCAAAATAAAACTGAAATGAGTAATTAAGTCAATAATAAAAATACCAACTCAACAGCTGAGACACTGCATAAGTCTTTAAATACAACCACCGACATCTTTCCATTATATATACATATATATCAAATATATTATTTAAAATTAGTATATTTTATTTGATATTTATATTAAAAAATGAGTAAAGTTCTTTTTAGGTCTCTAAAAAATACGATCCTCATTTTTGTCCCTTATAAAAAAATTAGTATCCAGTCTCGACGAAATTCAAAGTTGACTCATTTTAGAGAACTTGAAATTAATTTTTTTTTTTTGTAAGGAACTAAAGTGGAGACCGTATTTTTTGTTAGGATTTTACTCAAAAAATAATCAATAACCTCTTACTCTCTAATCATAATATTTGGTGTATAACTATTTTTCTTAGCATAAAATATAATAATTTGGACTAAAATAACATATTTTAATATATTTATCTGCATCTTATTATTTTATTTTATTTTGGTAAACTTTTTATATCTTGGGGTGAAGAGATAAATACAATATCAAATAAAATATACTAATTTTAAATAATATTTTTGATATATATTAGAATATACACTTTTATTCTTTTTCTTTTAGTTAGTTACTGATGTATAGGATATTGGTTATTGGCTCATGTGCCACATATGCCTCAGTTTGTTATTTTCTCTCTCTTTTCTGTTAGTACACGTTTTGCTGATATAAGAGCAATGCTCTCTGTACACATGACTTTCAGTTTTACAGAATGAAATTTGTTACAGTTCTTTCCAATTTCTTCTTCTAATATGGTATCAGATGACTTTTTTTGACCTCCGAGCCTTTTTCCATGGCTCGTGGTGGCAAAAACACCAACCCCATTCCATCCTCCTCTTCTACATCCAACGTTGCTTCCTCCTCTGCTTCCATGGAGGACTCTGCAAGCCCTTACTATCTTCAGAATGGTGATCATCCTGGTCTCATTCTGGTCACTCATTCCCTCACTGGACCCAACTTCAATTCCTGGAATCGAGCAATGCTCATTGCTCTTACTGCCAAAAACAAAGTGTGTTTTGTTGATGGCAGTCTCCTTCGTTCTGATCACTCTGATCTTCTCTTTGTTGCTTGGACCCGATGCAACTCTATGGTAATTTCATGGCTTCTCAACTCTGTCTCCAAAGAGATTGCTGATAGCCTTATGTATTTTTCCACGGCTTATGATCTCTGGGATGATCTCCGTGTTCGCTTCCATCAAGCCAATGGACCGCGTATATTTCAGTTGAAGCAGCAAATCTCTTCGTTGCATCAAGGGAGTCTGGATGTCAACACTTATTATACAAAGCTGAAGATTCTTTGGGATGAACTCAAAGATTATTCTCCCAACCTTTCTTGCACTTATGGTGCTCTTCGGATTTTATCATCCACCCAACAACAAGACTATGCCATGCAATTTTTAATGGGGTTGAATGACTCATTTTCTTCAATCAGGGCCCAGATCCTTCTTATGGAACCACTGCCTCAGTTATCTCGCGTCTTCTCTTTAGTCATACAAGAGGAACGCCAAAGGCAAATCACGCCTTCCTTCCCCCTCCATCCCTTGATACTCCAATGATGAACACCGCCTCTACCGTTCCTGCTGCATCTGTTATGGCTTCATCGCCGGTTACTGCCGCTGTCTCCGCTCCACGCCGCCCTCGTCCTTACTGCACCCACTGCCAGGAATTGGGCCATGTCCGAGACAAGTGTTTTAAGCTTCATGGCTTCCCACCGGGTTACAAACCCAGAAGCCCCAAAAACCCATATGGCCCACCTCCACATCAGGCCCAAATTCACTTAGCCACTACTCAACCCTATTCCTCTCCACCCCCACACGATCCCCTCACCCCCACTCAATATCATCAGCTAATTTCCCTGTTCCACAAAAACCCTGATCCCACCATCACCACACCTTCAACTGATTCGTCATCAACTACCTCATCTGCTCCAAATCCCATGATCGCAAGCTTCAGTGGTAAGATTTCATCATCTATTCCTTCAAATCTTTGGGTACTTGACACTGGTGCCACTCACCATGTCACTTACCTCTCCTCTTCTTTCACATCCTTCCTTCCCTTCTTCATCTGCTTCTATTTCTCTTCCTAACGGTTCTAGCATTCCAATTTCCTCTGTTGGAAACGTTTCCCTTTCTTCTTCTTTAACATTGCATCGCGTTCTTTTTGTTCCATCTTTTACATTGAACCTCATCTCCGTTAGTGCTCTAACCAGAGATTCTAACATCCTTGCTTTTTTTTTCTGGTTCTTTTTGTATGCTTCAGGATGCTACAACTCACAAGACGATTGGGATTGCTAGGCGCACGGGTGACTTGTATTTTTTTGATTCCTCAAATTTCTTCCCCATTTCTGATGTTCCCCGTCCCTTTTGTTCGGCTACTGTTGTTCCCTCTTCTGAGTCTATATTTCCTTTTGTTTCCTCTACTCATTTCTCCACCCCTCTGACTTCATTACCTTATAAGTCAGAATCTGTTTCTCCTAATGTTACCACTGAAGCATCTGATCATCTCACCACTAGGCCTTCACGCACCAAAAGACCTCCACCACATCTTTCAGATTTTGTTTGTTCAACCTCTACCATACATCCCATCTCAGCCCATTTATCATATTCCAAAATCAAACCTTCACACCCCACCCTCATTAATAATATATCTTCTCATTTTGAACCCTCATCCTATTCTGAAGCCTCCCAATTACCCGAATGGTGTGATGCCATGAATGCAGAAATCACTGCTCTCAAAACCAATCAGACATGGTCCATAGTCTCTTTGCCTGAAGGAAAACATCCTGTTGGTTGCAAATGGGTGTATCGGGTCAAGTACAATTCTGATGGGTCTCTTGAGCGTTATAAAGCTCGCTTGGTTGCTAAAGGATTTACTCAACTAGAAGGTTTGGATTACATGGAGACTTATTCTCCTGTTGCAAAAATCACAACAGTTCGGCTTCTCCTTGCTCTTGCAGCTATAAACAATTGGCATCTCATTCAACTAGATGTCAATAATGCCTTCTTACATGGAGAGCTTGATGAGGAGGTTTACATGTCTCTCCCACCCGGTTATCCTACACAGGGGGAGTCTCTCCCATCCAATGCTGTATGCAAGCTTCATAAGTCACTATATGGTTTGAAACAAGCTTCTCGTCAATGGTTTGCAAGTTTTCTTCCACTCTTTTATCTCTTGGGTTTTCTCACTCTCAAACTGATCATTCCTTATTCACCAAGAATTCAAATAATTCTTTTGTTGCTGTCTTAGTGTATGTTGATGATATTTTAGTAGCCTCCAACAGTTCTGAACAGATTCACCACCTTACTTCGTTCCTGGAAACAAAATTCAAATTAAAAAATCTGGGTTCTTTGAAATACTTTCTTGGCATTGAAGTGGCTAGGTCCTCAGTAGGTATATCTATTTGTCAATGCCATTACACATTGCAAATTTTGTCTGATGCTGGTTACCTTGGCTGCAAACCAAAATCCACACCCATGGAGCCAAACCTCAAACTTTCATCCAATTCAGGTGATCTCCTCTCTGATCCATCCCAATACCGTAGACTGATTGGCCGCTTATTGTATCTCACAATAACTCGCCCAGATATTTGCTACACTGTTAATCATCTCAGCCAATTCATGTCTGCCCCTAGAACTGTCCATCTTGCTGCTGTTTACAGGGTCCTATCCTATTTGAAAGGCACTCCAGGTCAAGGTTTATTGTTTTCTTCATCTTCCAAAATTCAATTCAATGCTTTTTCTGATTCAGATTGGGCTTCTTGCCCTGACTCTAGAAGGTCCATCTCTGGTTTTTGTGTTTTCTTGGGCAATTCATTAATCAGTTGGAAATCCAAAAAACAAGCTACTGTTTCAAAATCATCAGCTGAATCTGAATATAGGTCCATGGCTGCTGTCACTTGTGAACTTATTTGGTTATTTTCTCTTCTCAAAGATTTTCACATTACTCATTCCACTGCTGCTCACTTGTTTTGTGACAATACTGCTGCCCTTCACATCGCTGCAAATCCTGTGTTCCATGAAAGAACAAAACACATTGAAATTGACTGCCACTTGGTTCGACAACAAATTGTGAAAGGCTGTCTTCAAACTTTTCCTATTGCATCTGCACATCAGTTGGCTGACATCTTCACTAAAGCACTGCATCCGGCTCAGTTTTCTTCTCTTCTTTCCAAGATGGGAGTGCACAATATTCACTCTCCATCTTGAGGGGGAGTATTAGAATATACACTTTTATTCTTTTTCTTTTAGTTAGTTACTGATGTATAGGATATTGGTTATTGGCTCATGTGTCACATATGCCTCAGTTTGTTATTTTCTCTCTTTTTTCTGTTAGTACATGTTTTGCTGATATAAGAGCAATGCTCTCTGTACACATGACTCTCAGTTTTACAGAATGAAATTTGTTACAGTTCTTTCCAATTTCTTCTTCTAATAATATATATGTATATATAATGGAAAGATGCCGGTGATTGTATTTAAAGACTTATGTGGTGACTCAACTGTTCATTTGGTGTTTTTATTATTGACTTAATTACTCATTTCAATTTTATTTTGCTGATGATAGTCTGGTTATTAAGCTTGGCATTTATTCACATACTAATGTGGCTTTTCAATCAGATGGATTACCAATGTTAGCTCCAATGACATCTGACACGTGCTGGTGCACTGCCGCGTCCTTGCAAAAATTTTACACCGGCCGCGGTTGAAAAAGTAACACGTTTCAGTGACGTGATTGGTCAAAACAAATGCACAGGACGCGGTTGTGTATGTGTCATGTCTTAAGATATTCTTCTCAGTACCGCGTCGTTATGCATTATATAGGTAATACTTTTAACCAAGAAATTATTTCGATCAAACATTATAAAAATAATATTACTAAAGTCAAAAGGCCGCTTTTTCATTTCATTGTAATTAATGGGTCTTGTGAAATAGTGGAGTCTGTCTAGTGATTACTTCTTCGTTACTGTTAATAGAATCTGTATTTCCTTGTTACTGTGTGATAAGTTGGAGTCAAGAACCTTATTATCGAAGTCTATTAGTAGTGTGTTTAGTGTTAGTAAATCCGTCCAAGTTGAGTCTGTAATTGATTTGATTACGAGTTCTGCCGAGAACCGAATACAATGCGTTTGCTATTTGCTTAATTAGTAAGTTCTGATTGATTGGATGTTATTGGTCTTTTTCTCTGGATTGTGGGTGTTGAATTATCACAGCAATAGCACAGGTGCCATCAAGTCACATTGAAGAACCCAGTGGAGAAAAGCTGCATAATCCGTATTAAGAAAGCAGAAGGAGAAGGGGAACTCATATGTTAATCCTGGTCATTGTATTAATTATGTAGTAGCTTCCTAATACTATTGCCTTATGTATATTGTAATAACTTTCTAGATTTGAATAAGCTTGCCCTATCGTAGGCTGCAGCTGGTGGTATTTGATGTTAAATGGATTTTTAAGTGTAAAAAAATTAGGAGTGGATTCTCTCATGTGTTAATTAATATTATCATGTTATGTGGAGCGATCATAATCGTATGAGTAAATGGTGATAAGAGAAGAAAGAGAAAAAATATAAGGATAGAAAGTTACACAATTATTACGGTTGATTTAATTATTAATGGTTAAAATTCTCTCACATGACATAATTATGTTAAATTATACATGAGAAGATCGATTTTTAAAAAAATTTAAGAAATGCTAATTAGTAGTACTGATTTCCTCTGATCGATGCAAGGGTTGTGTTTGTGAACTGGCTATTAATATTTGAGTCTTGAACTTACAGACGGAGTAGCTGCTTTTGATAATTGGCTTTGCAGATGATATAGTGTACTTATTAGTATGGAATTATATAAAGTAGTGTCCATTCAAAAATATTTGGGTGAAGTTATATGTGCATCATATTGTTGTATATATTTGAAGGGGTTTATGAATCTTATGTCATATTCCTCGGTTTTAAAAAAAAAAAAAAAAAACTTCGATCAGTGCGGGACGGTAATCAAATGTCCATATTTGATTTCCCCATATATGAATGTGTATTTTTTTTCATTATATAAGGTTGTGGGGCAGATGTAATATTAAAAAAATATACAAATATTATTATTAATTTTTTATTATACTGTATAGCTTCCTTTTTATCATTTTGTTTGGCTAACTTGATTTCATGCTGATACTTGGTTTTTTGATAAAGAGAACTGGTTTTTATACACTATTTTTCTATATCTTTTTCATATGTTAAATCAAATGTGAATATGTAACATCCCCATCTCGAGCCGGTTCAATTAACATACATATGATACAAACAGAAACAGCAGAAGACTTAACTTAAGAAAATACGAGCTAACTTTTTCTTTTATTTTTCATTAATCTTAATTCACATGATATCTCACATTGCATACTTCTCCTAATTTAATTCGTATTTGACGAAGACGAAAATCGGGCAGAGTAACCTCTGTAAATTGGACCACTAGGGATTTGCCAATCTCACTCTCAAAGGTTCCTGATAAACAGTTTATATCATATATAATTTCAAAAATACCAGATATTTATAAAGGACTATATACATATCCATGAGTGCATGCATAACTGACTCCGTGCCACTATGTCTAACAACATACATATTTCAGCACATGCACATATCTGAATACACAAATGTACATGCATCAAATATGAACACATGTACAAAACATATACGGACCATATATTGTATAATGGATCAAACATCATGATCTCAAAATGAATAGAACACTATACAATAGTACATATTCTCCAAAAATAACATCTATAATAAATAGTAGCGTCCGGCCACCCAGAACTCCATATCCTCACACTAGTACCTCTAGCCACAGGTAGTGTCCTTGTCCCATGAGGGCTCTTCAATTAACTGTGTTCCTGAAATCATATCCCCAAACGGGGTTAGAGACGAATCTCTAGTAAGCTTCAGGTTTATAGAAAACTCTCCATACCCTGGGCTCACTTCCTGCATGACAGTCAGATACATAATATACAAAACATCATATAAGCAAATATCATAGCTGGACAAGCATATACATATATCTTATCAAAGATGCACGCAGTATTCTGAAACGGAGGACCCGAAGCAGAAATCAACGCACATAATTTCATTTACGAAAATCAACACAATAATCACATCAGAACAAAACATATCTTATCAGAGACGTACGCAGTCATTCCCAAGGGATGACCCCAAGCGAGAATCAACGTACGTAACAAATATCATATACAAAATCATCACAATAATCACATCAGAACAAAACATATCTTATCAGAGACGTACGCAGTCATTCCCAAGGGATGACCTCAAGCGAAAATCAACGTACGTGTTCCCAAGGGAGGACCCCAATCGGAACCAGAACATATTAGAGGTGTACACCATCAGTTCCGAGGGATGACCCCAAGCAGACATCGGTGCACATAGGATCAATGGCCAGAGATCATCACATAACAGAGGTGTACACAGTCAATCCCAAGGGAGGACCCCAAGCGGAAATCAGTGCACATGTTCCCAAGGGAGAACCCCAAGCGGAACTCAACATATAACAGATATATACACAGTCAGTCCCAAGGAAGAACCTCAAGCGAACATCAGTGCATATAGAATCAATGGTTAAAGATCATTACAGAAATCACATCAAAACATATCAAAGTAAACACATTAAAACATATCACATCACATCATCATATAGTTCTATATGAATGCATCTATATCATATATCTCATACATATCATACAACCTGACCACAGTCCGTACACTATGGCGGAACACAAAGTAGGAGCGAATCATATAAACATAGAGCTTACCTTTTGAAACTTTACCAATTTGCTCACTTGTAACACAAGTTACCTATTTAGCTCCAAAGAAATCCGAACACGCTCAGTCCCTAGGCACACCTAGAGAAAGAATTCAAAACGAAATCAATAAAATGTTACTATGCCATGAAATTTACACAAGGTATGCATCTTATTGCTTACTTTCATTTCTTCACATTATGCCAATTTACAAGTCAAGACCATCCTTTCTTAAGATCATTATTTAACACATTTACGGATGATTACTCGTAACACAAGAAACCACCCGGTTTCATAATTACCTAGGGTCCTTAATTGACCCAACCAAGCTTCTAACATAATCTTTATAATTTATGCAATTAATTTTTTTGCACATCAAGCCTAAGTCCCTATTATGGCCGAATTCTAGGGTGGTTCAAGGGGAATTTTTCTTCATTTTTAAACACACATTCATGGTTATTCTACATTACAACTTACTACACAACACTAATTCATCACAAATTTCCAATTTCAAACTCAAAATTCCCACCAAAACATACTTCAAAATTTCAATACATAAATCACAAAATTTAAACTGTGGAAATAGAGATTTCTCACCTCTAATCCCTTATACCTAGCCTAGAGAACAACCTTCAAGCAAAGCTCCATGAAAAATCACAATTTCTCTCTTCGATGAATAGTGATTCAAATTGGGAAAAGGGAAGAACTCTTCACACAAGCAATTTCAGCCTAAAATAAGGGGTGGAACGGATTCATTGGATGATTTCCTATTGATTTCATGTAATGGACTTTTTCATTTGGATGCTTGTGTAGAGAGAAATCAAAGAAAAAAAAATTTAAAAGCCAAACCCCCTTCCATGGAGTTGCTTCGGCCAGCAGAAAAGGAGAAGAAGAAAGACAACAGTGGCGCACGTTGAAAGGAAACATATAAAAGAGTTGTAAAGTTAAGTTAATTTAACTGGGTAATTGTTTATCTATCTACACATCTCCATTTAATACCAAACTTTATCCAATGAACTATAATATTTTTCTAATCATATTTCTAACTTTACTTTCACTTTTCGGATAACTTTATTTTTTTTTCTTTATAATTATCCTTCAATATTAAATCCATAATCGTGAGGTTCATTATAGAATACACTCTTATTCTTGTGCACATCATAATTAAATTTACTTAGAAAGATTTTAAAAATGATATATGAATTGAGTGTGGTTCTAGAGAACTAAGTATGTGTCTCTTGAAGGGCAAAATATATCACTTCATTGAACACTGATACAAACCCGCAAGCTAAACTAGATTTGTATTGGGCCAGAAAGCGGATCAAATTTAAATTGAAATAATAAATTTTTAGCTCCACCTAATTTTATGCAGGTTGCAAATTATTTAGGTTGAACTATATTTTTATATTTTGCTGTTATTATTGAAGTGTAAAATGTTAACTTTTAAATAATTTATTTGAATTTTATTTAAAGGCTTAAATCACTTATATTAAAAAAAATTCAAAATAGTTGTTGCTTAAAATAAGTTCATGTATTTTTTAAAATGAGATTTTAGTGGGCTAATAAAAGAGAAATTTAACAATTTTAATATTCTATTAGTTGATCTTGACAACCTTTTGAGTTCGCGAGCCAAGCCAAAGTATATACATAGACCACGTTTGTTAAATATGCATAAACCTATTTTTAACTGCATGTTAAATACTAGTTATTCAATGTAAATTTAAATGAATAATAATAATAAATTTTAATAAAATCATTATTTCATGTTAAATTGAACATAATATTTTAATTTGACGTTGTTATTTAAATGTTTAAAGAGTATTTAGAATTTATAATATAATAAATTTTTTATGATGATTTTATATTAATAGAAAAATATTTTGTGAATAATAATTTACAAAAGGAATAAAATCAATAGTGAATAGAAATACAAAAAAATTTAAAAATAATTCTAACACTTTCTATTATAATGGAAAATAATATTTACCGAAAAATAAAATAAATAAATAAATATTGATTTTAAGTTCGAATAATATAGAATTATTTGAAGAACTAATCAACACTCATCATTAAAATTTGAATCTATAACCTTATGCCAATTATTTACATTTCTCTTTAGTCATAGAGATTTAATTCGACCCATTTACGTAATGAGTAAAAAATTTCCATTTCATTAAATTGTTAAACACTCAAACGTAACTGTTTTAGCTGCTTCTTCTTCTTCTTTTTTTAAAAATAATACAAGTTTAGCTTATTTTCAACCCTGGTTTTTTGGCTATGTAATTCACTCTGATTTGTCTTGCTCATTGTTTAGTCATAGAGATACTTTGTCTTTTTTACTCTGATTCGTCTTGCTCATTGTTTTGAATTTTGAGAGATCCAATTATCCATGTATGGATCACGGACCATGCACTAGCCAGTAGGCTGTACCCACAGCATTTTTTCTTTACAGGATGGTGTTTGGTTGAGGAGTTTTTTAAATTATCCCATGCAAATGAAGTTGGGATTATGGAAACATGCGTTTGGTTGACAAGGATTTGGCTCAACACCTAGGGAAGCTCGATGCATACCTTTTTCAGTTTTGTGCCATTTAGCTAGGCAAAAACACTGTTTAAAAAGCAATTTAGGAGATGATTTTTTTAAAAAGCACGAAGCTCAGAATGTCAATCGAGAGTTTGTACATATGCAAAATGACGAAACCGTATTGTGGAGGACAAGTGGCATACCCACTGGCCACTTGTACTCGAATAAGATTTTTGTTTTGGGGTTAAATTTGTAATTTCATTCAATTTACCCATTCATATTCTACCCCAAACCAAACTTAGGTTTCTTAAACTTTCAAAAATATTCTAAAATTTCTCCCAATCAAACTATTTTTTTAAAAATTTTCTATCTAATTCACTTTCTTGTAGGATTCCTAATAATTACATTTTCTCGGTTAACCAAAAAAAACCCTTAACCAAACACCACACAGTAGTATAGTGTAAAATCAAAACACTACCATATTTTAACAAAGATAGTAATAACTTAAACCATTAGGTTTGGTTTAATATCGAGAGATTTGGATAATTTGTATTAAATTATGTTTTAATTCTCATTTCTTTTAAAAAATACAACTTGTGTCATTCACTTTTATAAAGAGGTGAGACTTACATCTTTATTTATTTTTTCATTTTCTTTTTTCTTTTATCTATCTTTTTCTCTCATTTAAAATGAAATAACTTTACATCCTTTAAAATCATACATATTTTTCCCGTAAAAAAAAATAGTTGGAACTTAATAGTCTATTACAAATTTACAATTGAATGTAGTAAATCTCGAATGTTATAATTTAAATTATTACTATGTTTTAAGCACCAAATAAAACCGTCACTGTGTATTAAATTGAACATAATATCTCAATTTAATGTTGCTACTCAAATGTTGAAAGAACATTCATAATTTATAAATACAATAATCAGTTGTTGTGATGTTTCTATAATAACCGTAAAACATTTTGCAAAAAATAATTTCAAAATAGGAATAAAATCAATAATAAACCAATACACGATTGTCTAAAGGAGCAGGTTATATTTACAAACTTTTTTGTTTACAAACTACACTATGTTTTTTCAGGGGAACACTGATTACACTATGTTCTCCCCCAGAGAACATAGTGTAATTTGTAAAAAAATTTGTAAACGAATCTTTCTCCTTTTTTAAATATAAATTATTACTTTTTATAACGTTGTCAAAAAATTTTTTAAGAAATACTTCTCGTATTGTAGAAAAAATATTTTCTCCTACCATTCATCATTCAATTTTCGTACAATTTTTATTTTATTATATCACACTGAACCCCTCTTAAAACTTAGGTTATTACTTTTAGGTATGTGGCAGGCGCGCACCTTGAATAAAAAAATAATTTAAAGGAATTGATAAAATGTAATTTAATTAAAAGCCGTAAAGAGAACGGAAGTGACGATTCACTATACTCGGGAGAAATTTTTTTTACTAGTGAAATGTAATTAATAGGAAAGAAGTGGTTGGAAGGTGAGTTTGATAAGAAAATGTAAAAAAAGTTGTTTTATTGACCCAAATATTACCAGAGAAATTTATTTAAATATGCAAAATCTATGTTCGAGAGAAACTTTTCACCTGTTTTTTCACTTCCCCAGTCATCTCAAAATACCACATCTCAAGTGATATTCTGTAACAGTGAATTTCATCCAAAAATCAAGGTAACAAACAGACCAAGCAAATATGGAATTAAAAGATCAGTTTGTACCTACAATAAGAAAACACTATTAATTCAGTGTCATTCTGTAGTAATCATTGGAGGAATGAGTTCAACACATATCAAACATGCGATTTCCTATGTTTATGCATTACCAGGGACATCCTCTTCTACCATCATATTTATGCCTACGATACAAAGTGCAAATACTTATTAAATAAATTACGTTAATATGTTAACACCCAGAAGTAATAATCTCAGGAAAAAAAATGAGTTATTTTTTTTAGAACCCAAAAAACGTTGTCTGAAAGGGATTTGAAAGCAAATTAACCAAATAATCATGTATGAGTCATATTTTTTGCTTACATTGGAACAAATGTGTCTAAACAGCATCAAATCAATACACATGCTAAAAACTTGTAACAATATAAAGAACCCAGAATGATAAATTTTTAAAAAATAATAACATACATTTGGGTCCACCAAAGACTTAAAGAATGAGGTGACAATAGCTTCGCTACTTCAAACACTTGAATCTTAATATCTTGGCTCATTATATGACTCCAAAATATTTTTTTTACTTTGACCTTAAATAACATGGAATTTTCATTAAGAACGTTAAGTTTTCCTGGATAATGTTCCAAATCAGAACCCTACATAAAAAAACTCCTTCAAAATTAAGTATAACTCGTGCGATGCACGGGAAAAAAGAAATTTGTTTGTCTGTCTCGTAAAAGTTAATGTAAATCATAAAAATATATTTCTGCATTTTATTTAAATCAATATTGTTAGCTACCTAACTACAACTTTTTGCACATATAGAGGTGGCAAATTTTTGAGTTATTATGTTTAATATAAAATAAGAAGAGCAAAATTTTAATTTAATTACAAAAAAATATAGGCGGGTCAGTCCTCCAGACCGACTCCACTTTACAACCTCTAATTGTCAGCATTATATACCAGCATATAATAAATTTTTATATTATCCACACGTAAAAGTTCTTATATTTGCATATAAGTTTTTATATTTTATTTCAGAGATGGACTTTCATTTATTACAATCATATTTTTTTAAAAAAATAAATAATTATTTTTTGCAAGGATTTGCGTCGTTTGTATTTGAAATTTTACAAATTTGTATTTACAAAAAATAAAATCACATTTAAGAATTTAATTATAAAAGAAGAAGGATACAATTTTAATTTAATTATGAAAATGTTTGGTAGGCCGGCCCTCCGGGTCGAACCCAGTTTGCCACCTATAACTATTAGCATGTAATAGGTTTTTATATTTATTCACAAAAAAGGCTCTTATTCACAAAAAATAATAAATAGTAGTTTTTTTTGTAAGAATTTGTGTCGTTAATATTTGGAATTTTATAAATTTGTATTTACAAAAATTGAAATATGAATTAAGAATTTAATTATAAAAAAAGAATAGTGGAATTTTAATTTAATTATAAAAATGTGTTGGCAGGCAGGCACTCTGGGCCAAATCCAGTTTGCAACCTTTAACCATCAGCATTTTATGTAAATAATTATTTTTTGCAAGGATTTGCGTCGTTTGTATTTGAAACTTTACAAATTTGTATTTACAAAAATTAAAATGAGATTTAATAATTTAATTATAAAAGAAGAAGAATGAAATTTTAATTTAATTATAAAAATGTTTGGTAGGCTGGCCCTCCGGGCTGAACCCAGTTTGCCACATATAACTATTAGCATGTAATAGATTTTTATATTTATTCACAAAAAAGGCTCTTATTCACAATAAATAATAAATAGTCATTTTTTGTAAGGATTTGTGTTGTTAATATTTGAAATTTTATAAATTTGTATTTACATCCTCATTGAAATATGAATTAGGAATTTTATTTTTTTTGGTAAGCTTATTAGGAATTTAATTATAAAAGAAGAATAGTGAGATTTTAATTTAATTATAAAAATGTGTTGGCAGGCGGGGCGGGCAGGCCCTCTGGGCCAAGTCCAGTTTGCAACCTTTAACTATCAGCATTTTATGTAAATAATTATTTTTTGCAAGAATTTGTGTCGTTTGTATTTGAAATTTTACAAATTTATATTTACAAAAATTAAAATCAGATTTAAGTTGTCTTCCATTAAAAGATGTTAAATTCTTTTTCCACCAATATCAATTTCAAATTTCGAAATTTAAAAAAGGAGTGGGATATTAATGCATCTATCTGCCACTAACTATTGCTGAACTATTTTCTTTGGGTCTTTTGATTTTTCGATAAATATGAAAAAAAACATTCAATGTTTTTTAAAATGAGGGTTAACAATTCCCATGTAGAAAATAGTGGAAATTTAATACAATTGTCTCCCACTAAAAGATGTTAAATACTTTTCTCCCCTATATCAACTTCTAATTTCAAATTTTAAAAAAGAAATGGGATATTAATGCACCTGCCTGCCACTATTTAATGCTGAACTCTTTTCGCATTAACTATTTAGTTTAAATATTTTAAAAAAGAATTAAATATCTATTTTAGAATTTTGAATTAAATAAATTATTTTTCATTCTTCTGTTTTAAAATTCTCTATCGTATGATTGTTTTTCATTCATCTGTTTTAAAATTCTTTATCTCGTATAGTTATTTCTCATTTTCCATCTTATCATTATGAGCATTGGCAACTCCTATATTTATGAGGATTCCATTCATATATGCATTAACAATTTTTCATTTTTATTCATTGAATTGGCAACTCATTATTAAACGTAAAAGTGCAAACTTAAAAGTCCTTTCTAAAGAATTACAGAAATATCACAATCCCTATATAGTGTAAATGTCAGATTCTCATCCAAACCTTAGGCATAAATCCATGTAGAAAGTAATGGTATAATAAATGAGCTGCCACCAATAATTATCCAAATATTTTCCCACCACTACAAAGTTTAAAATTCAAAATTCAAATTCAGAATTGAAATTTAAATGAAATTCGAAATTTAAAATAAATATTTCAGAAAATAATGAGTTATTATTAATTTGAAAATTTCAATGTAGAAAGCAGTGGGACATTGAATGAGTTGTCTGCCACCAACAAATGGTTCACTTAAATTTTAATTTATTTTAATTCGATTTTTAGAGTAAATTATATATTTATTTAATTTAAACTGTTTAGCCTTTATTTTGCAATTTAAGATCCCATTGAATCTGTTGAGCAATTTCAGTGTGTCATTTCAGTTCAAGAATCAGAAAAATCATTTATAGTGGCAACGACAATTACGTTTTAGGTGGCAATGATAATAAATGACATTTATAACTATTAATATTGTTTGATTTATGTCTTTACATATTTCATTAAATCAGTACATTAAATTTTCATATATGTTATCTTTACCTACTTAAATGCCATTTAAAATGACGTTTCACTTACCCGTAACTATTAGCATGTAGGTCAACAGATTGCACTTCAGCGTAAAACGTAAAAGTCCTTTTTTAAAATGACGTTTCGTGCAGTTTTTATAACTTCGAACAGATTGTAATTATACCCGATTAACCCCTTTTTTTAAAATGTCATTAATCCTTGTTGCGTTGGTATTGTAAAAGTTTGGACATGGGGTATAACAATTTTTTCATTTAAATTTCAAATATATATGATCCTCCAACCACTGCAACACTCACCATCTATTCGAAGTTCACACAATTCACAGTCACCTCCGAGGCTGAGAACCTAGCTAGACGTTTCAACTTCATCTCTCTTATGAGCCTGTCTGCTCCCACTTCAATTCTCAAAGCCTAGCCTTCACCTGCACCTTAAAACCCAACCGACTATCTTTTCCTTTTAATGACATTTATGCCCTTCCTTTCCTTCAATGGCATAACCTACGTTAGTTCCTCTCTCTCATTCCCGAGATATAAGACATTATGGTTGTTTGGTACGTGGGTTTTTACCGGATTCTCGGAAAACTGAATTTTTTTAAATTTTAAATTTTCGGATATTTTCGTAAACTGAATGTAAAAATCATATGTTTGAAAATTAAGATTCCCGGACAAATAAAAAATTTTCCTGTACCAAACGCCAGAGAGAGAAGAAATCAATGTTAATAAAAATGTATTAAATTGAAAAAGAATACAAACCAAAAGAGCACTAACAGTACTTCTCTGCCTGAATCGCAAAATGACATGCATACTTTAAGACTCTTCCTGAATCGCAATAATAACGCCAAGAATATTATAAGTCAATTTTTTTTTGGTAGGCTATTATAAGTCAAATGAAAGCTAGATAAAATCATCGGACATTATAAAGCCAAGAATGATTGCGAAATATGATTTATCATTTACGTAGACATTTATCATCGCTAGAGAAATAAAAAGAAAATAAGAAGGATATACAAAGGATACATAATAAAAGTCATACATAAAATAAAAAAATAAATAAGAAAAGGAAAGAATATATAATAATATATCTTTTTCGCTATTATGGAGCCAAAATTGTGTGATGCATATTCAAATAAAAGAAAAAGAAAAAAAAGGAAGCTTCAAAATTGAAAAATCAAAAGAGGGTAACTCATATCTTCTTCAGTCTTTCACAGCTTACAACAGCAAGTTTAGCTCTTCTCTGAAGATCTGCAAACTCCACATGCACTTTCAAATAGTATGATAGTTGAAAGTGAACCCACCGTAAGGACGAAAATTGTTCACTTGTTTCCTCGCATTGAACATTGAGGACATATGCTTCCAAGCTCGTTTGCTGAACAAATGATCATCAAATCTACTTCCATGACCAACCCGCTCTAACAAAAGATAAACAAAATACCGATCCATCTCAGGTTCAAGATTGATTGCAAGAGATGAATTAGGAGAATCGAAAGAAAAATGAGAGAGAAGTGGGAAAATAAAAAAACCATAACAGATGTAGATCAAATCTAAGAAAAATATCCTATGATTTTACCTTTAAACTGTTTTCACTTTAAAGCCATAACAGATGCAGATCTATCCACGCAAATCTTTGAACGCAAAGCTTCGAACATTATTTAATAAAAAAAAGTTCAGATTCACAAATCCAAAAGGAACAAAGAACAATGAGATGCAGTGAGAAAATTTTGTTACTATTTAAAAAATAAAATAAAAATCTTATCGCTGCACTGAGAAAATGAGATGTGGTGGCAGTATTATGAATCCTTCCATCTGAAAAATGAATAAATCAGTCGGTATAAAATTTATGAAAATGAATTCATAGGGTTTGTTCATAAAGAAACAGAAAATTATGCCAATAGAACAATCCCTATACACATGAACGAAAAAAAAATGCAAGCAAGACAAAAAAAAGAAGCAACACTTCCCTATTTATAGGCAAAGTCGTAATTTATTTATTAAAAAAAAAAATTTAGCTTGTAGAATACATTTCACCATTACCATTGCAGAAAATAGTGGAGGGAACTTAATTGTTAGGTGACTGATTTCAATTTCAATTAATACACTTTCCACCCATTTCAAAATTCAATTTTGAATTTTGAATTGAGAACATCATTAATACAGCTGACTGCCACCAAGTATTTTATAATGATTTAAAAGAAACTCTCCCTCCTTTGTAGAATTTTTTTATTTACGAAATAAAAAATATTTCTAAAAAAAAGTAACTTTTCCAACTATCTCTAGCGTGAACACAAAGCTGAGAATTAAGGAGGAAGTGACACGTCAGCAAAGTTTTCAAAGTTTGGTTCTCCTTTCAATATATTATTATTATTATTATATATTAAGATAATCAGTTGTTATGATGTTCTATAATAACAGAAAAACATTATGCAAAAAATAATTTCAAAATAGGAACTAATACACGATTTTCTAATATAAAATAATAATTTTATTGTAATTACAAATTGGGCAACTTACCCTGATGTGTTGTGCTTGTGCCTGAATGCTCTGTCAATTTTTTTTTTAGAAAAAATATTTTATCATTCTCTTATTAACATTTCAACTTCCGTAATCCAAAAAAAAAACATTTCAACTTTCGTACAATATTTTTTTTATTTTTAATAAATATGGACCTACCCAAAATATGTATGTAGCATAAGAAAATTAAAAACTTTTTTTTATTATATCACTCTGAAGTCTGAACCCCTCTTAAAACTTAGGTTATTACCTTTAATATCTTATATAGGGTATGTGGCCGGCACGCACCTTGAATAAAAAATTAATTTAAAGGAATTGATAAAATGTAATTTAATTAAAAGCCGTAAAGAGAACGGAAGTGACGATTCACTGCACCCTAGAGTGTGTGTATTTATGTGCATAGGAACAACAAAGAAAGAACGAAGACACAATAAGGCTTTGTTTGGATTGCAAGGTCACATTCACACATTCAAACACCAATTGAGGCTTTCACAAATGGCTGACGCCGAACACAGACTAAGCCTGGAACCAGAGAAACAGACTCTTCTTAACCACCACACCGAGAAGCATTTCACCGCCGGCGAGATCGTCCGTGACATAATCATCGGCGTCTCCGACGGGCTCACCGTCCCCTTCGCCCTAGCCGCCGGCCTCTCCGGCGCCAATGCCACCTCCGCCATTGTCCTCACCGCCGGCATAGCCGAAGTCGCCGCCGGAGCCATCTCCATGGGTCTCGGCGGGTACTTTTAAACAAACTCTTCACAGTATTTAATTTTATTTTATTTTGTATATTTTATTGTATCATTTTTCTAGGAATTTTTTTTTGAAATTTTCTTATGAACCAAACGGGTGCAGGTATCTGGCGGCGAAAAGCGAAGCTGATCATTACAAGAGGGAATTGAAAAGGGAGCAAGAAGAAATCATTGCCGTACCAGATACTGGTCTGCACTATTTTTTAAAAAAAGTTATTTTTCATTTTTCTAAAATTTTTATAGTATTTTTTTTAAAAAAACAATGGCTTTCATTTTCTGTGTGTTTATAAATATGTTTTGTGAAAAAAAAAATAAAAAAATCCAGAAGCGGCTGAGGTAGCAGAAATACTGGCTCAATATGGGATAGAGGCACATGAATATGCACCTGTGGTGAATGCTCTTAGAAGGAAGCCTCAAGCATGGCTTGATTTCATGATGAAGTAAGTTTCATTCTCCAAACAAGAAAATTCCTTACATGGTTTTTTTTGTCGAAAGTTTTCCCTATATAAAGTGTGCACATTTTGGAGTTAAAGAATGGATTATTACATGTGAAAAAAGTATTTGTCATTTTAATTAATATAAAATTATCTCATTTCAAGAGAAATAAATATAAAATAATATTTTATTTAAAATAACGAACATTAAAGACATTATATCTATATATATTTATTAAATGATAACATATAAGAGAGAAAATTTATGGGTTTATCATCTATCATTTAACATGACCACAAAAATTTTCCTACACACACAACATTTTGTGGGACCCGCAGCAAAAAAAAAAAAAAAAAACTCCGGCACGCAAAACGAATCTCTATAACATAACACAATCACTTTTCCTACAACATAACTCTTATAAAACCCAAAATTTATTAGAGTATAAAGAAAAGTTGAATTGTCACACTAACCCCACATAACAAGAATTTGTTGACAAGTTGAAGTGTGGTACTAACCAAAGCATTAGCAACCCACTTTTTTGTTTGTGGGTGCAAAGTAGGTTTTAGCTTTTTCATTGGGGAATGGTTATGGGGTCCAAAATTTGGGCATGTGCGACAATTTGAGGGTTCCGACTTCCAATTTCCAATCAGCTGACATATTCTACTTGGCCAGGGAGGCCAAACCCGTAAAAACAAGGGAACAGGGACACGTCATAAGGGACACTGCACCAGGGTATCTTTTTCTGGTTTTGTTTTATTATCCAACTTGTTTGGACGACACATGTAAAGTACGATCAATTTTAAAAAAATAAATAAATTTCACAATCCTAATTACATATTTAAAATGAATTAAATTTTGAAGGAGTTACTCACCAATTTTATTTTACGAATTAATTACATTATATTTTATTAGTAAGATTTCACTGTCATTGATAAGACATAGTATGTATGTCTTACTGATAAGATAATACTAGTGTAGTTTGTAAATATAACCTTCTTCTTAAATTTTAGATTATATTTTTTGTAACAGTAAAAAAATTCAGAAGTTTGTATTGAAATAAAAAACAAAAAATTCAGAAGTAGAATATAATAATGCATTCAATGTTGAGTATTTAGTTATGATTTTTTTATTTGATAAAATATCACAGCACCATCACTGTGTTTAAAATCATTAAAAGACAATGTTTTTTGGTATGTGATTAAAAGATAATTAATTTGATTTGATTTGTTCCAAATCTGCTCAAATTTGAAAAAATTTCTAAATACACAATCAAAATAAGAAAGAACATTTCAAAATAAAAAAATCTTATTTTATGATCATTAAACAAATTTTTATATATAAATTGAATTAATTCTCAAAATTTGTTATTCTAAATTGGCTTTATATGTAAAATTATCCTTTTGAAATTAAACATGCTGACAGAGGTTCGATTCTTGGCCGTGCGTATGGAAAAAGCTTTGTTGGGAAATGTTTACTCACTTAATGTGATCTCCCGCCTCGAAAGGATTAGTCTTCGGCTGTCGGGCTGGAGGATACCTTGGGAAACCAAAAAAAAAAATTGTGTTTTTATATTTTGAAATTTCTTCTATAAAAGGAAAAAAATAACTTTGTGTCATTTTAGATCATAACCGTTGATTTCCGCTAGTCAACGGTTATAATTTACCAAATCTAATTATACAATTAATTAATAATTCACAATAAATTATAACCGTTAATTGACAGGAATCAAGGTTTAGGACACAGTTATATCCTTTTTAACGAGAAGTTTTTTGTCTTTATTGTTTCTCCATGTATTCTTCTTCTGGGTGATCTTAGTTTTGAACAAAGGGTTTATCATCTATCATTTAACATGACCACAAAAAATTTCCTACACACACAACATTTTGTGGGGCCCGCAGCAAAAAAAAAAAAAAACTTCGGCACGCAAAACGAATCTCTATAACATAACACAATCACTTTTCCTACAACATAACTCTTATAAAACCCTTTGAACAAATTAACTAATTACTAACATGACTCTGCAGATTTGAGCTGGGACTGGAGAAGCCGGATCCAAGGAGAGCATTGCATAGTGCAATGACAATTGCAATTGCTTACGTATTGGGTGGGATTGTTCCTCTGGTTCCTTACATATTCATTCCAAGGGCAGCAGAGGCAGTTGTGTTTTCAGTAGTGGTTACCTTGGTTGCATTGCTCTTCTTTGGCTATGCTAAGGGATACTTCACAGGCAATAAACCTTTCAAGAGTGCTTTGGAAACTGTTCTTATTGGTGCCATTGCCTCTGCGGCTGCTTTTGGTATGGCAAAGGCTTTCCATCCATAGATGATGGCAACAAATTTGCTTTCCAACTTCCTTGCTATTAGTTCTTACTTGTTACAGCTTTTCATTTTCTTAATTACCATGTGGTTTCATACAAGTACAACACCCCCTTTATTAAGTTTTGATGTGAACTTTTTGTGGTTAATAATATTAATATCACTTTGCATTAGAATTGCCTCTTTTGATAGCTCGAATGAGCATTCATCTTGGTGCAACCATTTGACTTAGTTTTAAATTAGGTATGAATTAGCTAAGCTAGAATTGCATAAATTTGTCAAATATACTTATGATTTTTGTTACAACTTTGTAACTCTCTGAAACATTCAGAACCTGAGAATTTGCCATCCGACCAAAATGTTGGTTCTAGGCTCTATTAAGTTTGGTACCAGGTTCTAGGTACACTAAATTCTACTGTGCTTTCAATTAATTCTGTCTGATTACGAATGGAATGGGATGCAAAAGGGACGCCAACACTTACGGGTGATCATGGATTAGAGTTGATCCGATTTTTTGATCGAGTTATTTTATTTAAACCCAACTCTCCATGGTATGGTTCAACTGACTCGAAATTAAAAAAAAAAAAAAAAATAGACTCTGGAAAAGAAGACTTACTCTATTTTGAGTGTCTTCTTTTTGGTATAAATACTAAGCCACCAAAATTGATAAGGTGGGTGAGGCTATGGATCTTCCAAGTCGCCTTGCGTACTAGATTTATCCTTTTGAGTGATGGGTTTATGCTTTGTCCAATGAGTCTTGGGCCTAAATGACCCCAACACAGTAAAGGTTCCATGTCTTTCTAAATGTGAGCAATTTTGAAGTGCCTCGTCTTGTCATTTAGGTTGTAATTTGCTTATGTTGCACTCCCGCTACATTTAACAAATATATACAAAATTGGGATAGATTATATTTATAAATTTTTTATTTACAAACTATATTATGTACTTCCGAGAGTATATTCTTAACCGAGTCTACTCCAAAAAGTACATAGTGTAGTTTATAAGAGTTTGTAATATAACTCTCCTCTACAAAATTAGAAAAAAAATTATATGAAAAAAATAAAAAAAATTCAAAAATTATAGTTGGATGTCTATAAAATATTTGCATTGATAAAATTCATTTTATTTTTGAAAAACAATTTTACTCAAATACTTTTGCTAATTTTGTATATACAGTGTTATATAGGATTATTGTTTGTCCAATTCGTTACGATGGGAATTTGGTATATATATATATAGGATTATTGTTTGTCGAGTCGTGTAAGATTTTGTTTGATCACATTATATACTTATAATATTAAAATTATTCTTTCTTCCTTTCTACGTTAGCCGACAAGTTTCTGAAGAGAGAAAAAAAATAACTTTAATATTAAATTATGTACTTCCCGGAATATATATTTATAAGGGTGTGACCGGATAAAATCTTATATCATGTGACTGGACACCCGATTGACCCATATATATATATATATATATATATATATATATATATATATATATGGGAAAACCATTTCTCAAGCAGCTTAAGATAAGTTTATCTCCGGTTACTCCAAAACTACGTCGTTTTATTTATTTATTTTCTTATATTAATTGATTCACCTTTGAATGGTTATGATCCCATTTTTCTCTCTCTTCCTTTATCACCATTGATCCATCTTTGTACGGTTATGATTTACTAGCCGGAGATAAGATTATCTCAAGTAACTTGAGAAACGATAAGCCCTATATATATATATATATATATATATATATATATATATATATATATATATATATATATATATATATAAATGACTGAAATTAGAATGCAGAAATTAAAGGCATAAGATAAATTTAAAGTGAACGCTGGGGTAATTCCACTAGCGTGAGGGTATGAGAAGAGAAGAATTGATTTTACATAAGCAGATACATAAACATATTTTATTCAAACATAAGGAAACATAACGATTACAATTACAGATTGAAAGAGATGTTGAGATATATAGTCCCACATTGGTTGTATGTGCAACTAATGTGGAGTTTATAAGGTCTTGGGCACTCCCACCCTTTGAGCTAGCTTTTGGGGTGGTGTATCCCAAGGTTCTTAACATGGTATGAGAGCCTCGCCGTCCCCACTTGCTCTTGTGGAATTTCTTAGCACAGGTAGACTGGGCCTGTTGCATCATCCACTCTTCAAGCCCAATGGGCTCTCGTGTGAGGGAGCTTGTTGAGATATATAGTCCCACATTGGTTGTATGTGCAACTAATGTGGAGTTTATAAGGTCTTGGGCACTCCCACCCTTTGAGCTAGCTTTTGGGGTGGTGTATCCCAAGGTTCTTAACAAGAGAAAACAGAGAAGAAGAGAAAACTCAGAAGTACCTCGCAGTCTCTCTCTCTAGACTATCTCTCTAAAACTCAGCAAATGAAAGGATGCCTTCAACAATCTGAAGAAATCAAATTTATCTCCATATTGATACTGCCATGAAAATATCCATGCCAGAGAAAATCTAGAGAAAAAGTGCAGATCTATTGGAAACGGATCTGTCAGTTTGTCAAATTTTTCTGAAAATATTGTTAATCCTTCGGGATATATGGTGTTTGAGCTTTTGATTTTTGGGTAAAGACTGGTTTGGGTTGAATTTCTAGGGCCCTGTTTGGACGGTTAGAAATCTGCTTATTTTTTAAGTTGTCAATCAAAACAGAAAGACTTTCTTCCTGTTCATCTTCAGAAGCTATTTCAGCCCAGGTTTTCTTTGGTAGATGAGTCAAACTTTGGTCTTGGAAGGCTTGAAGGGTTTGGATTGACATAGCATAATCTGCTTTGGTTTCTTTAGAAGAGGAAATATCATCAACTCTTTGGGTGGATGACCCAGTTTGGGGTTGGGTTGATGACCCAGATTGTTCCTGAGCTAGAGACCCAGACTTTTCTGATTTTTTAGCTAACCCAGCAAGGATTAGCTTTCCTTTCCTCTCTTTAGAAGAGGTTGATTTTATCGATTTCGGCATTTCAGGACACTGTTTACCTTCCCTGCAGAAATTCACGAGTGAGATAATCAGAGAGAGAGTTTGAGGTGCCTTTGAGATATTCAATTTCAAAATCAAAAACACTTAAGATTGCTTGCCATCTAGCAAAAATTTGTTTAGATGCTAAATTCTTTACATCTTTTTGTAAAATATCTTTTGCAGATTTGCAATCAACACGGATTAGAAACTTTTGATTTAATAAATCATATTGAAATTTTGAGATGCATAAGACAATTGCTAAAACTTCTTTTTTGACAGTGGAATATTTTTGTTGTGCTGAATTCCAATGCTTTGAAGTGTATGCAATGATATGTTCTTTGTCTGAGACTCTCTGTTTGAGAATGCCACCATAACCTATGTCTGAGGCATCAGTTTCAACAATTTTGAAAGCCTGAGGATTGGGAAGATAAAGACAAGGAAGTTCCTTTACCTTAGCTTTGACCTGATTGACTACGTCAGTATGAACATCAGTCCAGGGAGGAGGGTCTTTCTTATATATATATATATATATGGGATATGATCAACTTTCACTAATGTAAGAATAATAAGTCATACACCAAATCTTAACCATTGATTTTGGTGCATCTAACCATTTAAATTTATTGAGAATTAATAATTAATTAATGAGTGAGATCCAATAAATTTTAACCGTTAGATGCACGAAAATCAATGGTTAAGATTTGGTGTAAGACTTATTATTCTTACACCAGTGTAAGATGATCCTACTCATATATATACATATATATATATACATACATATATATAGATATATATATATATATACATATATATACATATATATATATATATGCGGCAGGATATTCTTACACCGGTATAAGAGTTAGAAATTTTACACTCAATCTTGACCATTGATTCATTTGTATCCAATGACTCGCATTACTAAAAAATTAGAGCCCTTAGATATAAGTGAGATCTACGGACAAGATTAAGAATGTAACTTGCACTGGTGTAAAATGATCCTGACCCTATATATATATGTATATATATGGGGCAAGATATTCTTACCCTGATATAAGAGTTAGAAGTCTTACACTCAATCTTAACCATTGATCCACTTGTATCCAATGACTCACATTACAAAAAAATTAGAGCCCTTAGATATAAGTAGAATCAACGAACAACATTAAGAGTGTAACTTACACTGTGTAAAAGGATCTTAACCTTATATAAGTCTTACTCTAGAGTCAAAAATCAAGGGCTGAGATGAGGGGTAAGCCTTATAAGCCTTACTCTGGATTATACATCTTACTCTAGAGTCAAATGATCTCTCATATATATATATATATATATATATATATATATATATATATATATATATGAGCAGAATCATCTTAGGGATAAATCTTTTGACTCAAGTGTAATATTTAGAAGTCTGACTATTCACCCTAGCTGCTGATTTCCGTCCATCTAATGGTCAGTGGCGGAGCTGGGCTCCAATTTGAGCCTGGGCCAAAAAATTATATGTGTATTTTTTCTTCTTAATTTTAGTTATTTTATATCATAATATATTTAAATTATATTAAATACAGGGCACCTGAGCATGCAGTACTAAGAAGAGTTATAATTTTATTAAATATTTTTAATTTTACTAAAAACTATTTTTTTATACAAGTGAAAATTGAACACATAACCTAATACTACTTAGCCAAATCATTAACCAAAAATATTTTAAGTTTTAGATAGGTCCAAATTATAAATGGTAGCCCAGGCCAAGTTGTAATTTTAACCCATGTCAAATTATAATTAATTATATAATTATATATAATAAGTATAATTTGTTAAAATTTAACCCGGGCCGAAGCCACACCCAACTTATATGTGGCTTCGCCACTACTAACAATTATAGTTTATTAAGTTATCTTAATTAATTGATTATTAATTTCAAATATATGACAATCGATAAATGGATAAAATTAACGGTTGAGATAAGGAGTAAGATTTCTAAATCTTACACTATTAGTCAAAGTTTTCATGCCAAGCCTAC